ACTTTTATCCTCAGGTGGAAGGCGCGTCAGAAGCGTTTTCTGTCCATAGAAGGCGCCAGGATTCATTATCTGCCATCAAACAATAAGAGAATTCGTCAAATGAATAATCACCGCTTATTTTATCATGACACTATCACTGGATCAACTGCCGAATGTCGCGAATTCGCGACAGACCACTTAACCGGCCATCATAGAAAAAGAAACACGTGTCGTGAACTCACAATATGCTGTGGGTAATCTCTAGGATGTAAGCGAAGAAAAGCAATTTGTTTTAGACCTGAACTCACCTTTGTTTTCCAGAAAAAATCGAAGAAATAAGGTCCGTAGCACGTGTTCTGCTTCTTTCGTAAAGCGGCGGACGAAACTGGTTATAACTTTCTACCACTACCGCTAGATGGCGCTACGCGTCCGTGGCAAAAAACTGGGTTTGTGGCGAATACGCGACAACCGGCATTTGGGCGTGCCAACACTTCGTTGCGGCGCTGGGAGCGCTCTGCCGGTATGTGTCGAATTAGCGACAACCGGCAGTAAAAGGTTAAAATGATTGTATCGGCATTTGTAGTATAAACGGCAATTCTTGGCAAATAGGTCTATGCCGCTATTGCTCTCGGAAAAAACAAAATATTAACTGGATTACTTTATGCACGAAAGTCTCTAATCTTTTTTTTTTTTGTTGTTGTTTTTAGCCGTTAAACCGAGAGTTTGCTCGCAATATTGGAGTTAAGTAAAAACACTGATTTATTTTAGATAAACCGTTATATATAATGCTTAAAAATATCAACCGCTTTTCTGAGTACCTATTCAAGCATTTCGAAACCTATAGCAAACTAGTCTTCTCAGTGACGCTACCAGTTCTTTTGTACCGATTGCCAATAAATCTATATGTAATCATCTGCACTCATTCGAGCTTTGATATATATGCACAGTGCGGTGGCCGAAATGTTCATTCCAATTGAATTTTGCAGTGAGGGAAAACTGTATGTGCTTTAACTTTGGATAGTTCTTTAATTAGCACTCCTCCCATTGTTTGGAGTTCATGTGTTTATATCCGCAACAGTCACTATCCATGCCACGTAACACTCACCGGCGCCAAATGGGCTTCCAAACAGGGGTTCTCAGAGTGGCCGCTGCGGTGTGTGACGCTTATAGGGAGTTTTAGTATATCGATCTGGTACCGTTCGTAACTACTGGTAGCGTACACGTTACGACGCCTGGGGAAGTGATGTCCCGCTGACCGTAACGACCTCTTCTAATTCGCCCGCAACGTCATGGCCGCGCCCGCGCCTTCCCGCATCCGTGTTTATCAATCTCCCTCCCAAGAGAAGGCTTAGCACTTTAATATTTAAAAAAAAACTACCAATATAGAGCGTTGCTCTGGATGCTTGTTCTATAATTCGACCCGCAGGAGTTGCTCGGACTTCGGTTAAATCGTGTGTCCCGCAGGTGTAAGCGGCGACGCAAGGAACACAGCCCCATGTTCTTTTTATTATTATTATCTGCTTTGGAAGATGCGTCTACCAGGCGTTTGTGTATTCGAGGGTCCGTAAATCATTGCGGGACGACATTCACCAGTGTCAGTAACTAACCAAATCTACAGAAGAAGTACGTCATTCTCAGAATCTTCTTCGCTCGTTGGCGGATTGAGTAGACGCACTGGGATGGACATGATCGCGGCGCTTTTCGACAGCGCATGGAGGGGATCTGTGTTCCCAATTACCGGGATGTCGGCGCTAAGCATTCAGGGCCGATTCTCGCCTCGAACGTTTTCTCTCTCAGGTAATATGACATTGATTAAAAAGGCTGGCGGCTACACGGTATGTCTATGCTAGTCTGCCAGTGGTCCATCCAAAATGCTTCTGCTCGGAGCCGCACCATGGCGCCACTGTCTTTTCGCACACTTCCTATAGACCCGATACCGGATATTGGTATTCGATGCATCGGAACGATCAACAAAAAGTGTCTAATATTGGAGATACTTTGGATTTCCTCAAAGGTGTGGGCAGACTAGAATTCTCTACTTCAGTTCATTCTTTCTTTTTCGGCGTTGACTCTTTTACCGCTCATTCACACTGGAAGCGGATCCGCGTTCGCAAAGCGGTTGCGAACGCGGTTGTATAAAGATCCAGTGCAATTGCACGCGCACCCGATGACATCAAGTGCGCGTGCAATTGTACTGAATATTTATACAACCGCGTCCCCAACCGCTTTGCGAACGCGGATCCGCTTCCAGTGTGAATGAGCGGTAATGCTGTCTGCCATGCTTCCTCAGCATAAAAGAGGCTACACTTAGAGTCTCGTAGGTAGCTACGGTCAAATTATCGACACTTCTTACCCCGATACTCTTGTTGGCGCAACTTGCTGCGTAGTGCAGGGCGGACTTAATTGGCGCACGTTACTGTGCTAACTTGAGCAGACGACATTCCAACGGGCAAAGAGGGCTTCTTTATTGAACGCGCTATACTTATAGGCGCTTGTCACGTGACATCCGTGACCGGGGTGAGCACAGCCGATGCGCCGTGGTGCGCCGTGACTTGCAGCGCCACGCTGCTACATTCCTTCCCCCTCACATCAGCTTCGGAAGTCCTCCGGTTTGTACCTGTCCGGTGGACGCCGCACTCGCGTACTTCTTCTGGAACTCGGTGCCTCAGTACAAGGCTCCGGTGTCGTCACTGGCGCACTTGTGGAACTCGGTGGTGGAAGCGGCTGCTGACGCGTCCGTGTAGCTTGTTGACCGCCGGCTTGAGAGTCCGCTGGCATAGCAGCAGAAGCAACTTGTGGCACCATCGGCTGGGTTTCTCGAGGCACCGGAACATCTGGGAGCGTAGGCTCCTCCGGCGTAGGCGGTGCAGTAAGGGACGTCGGGCTTGCAAGGCGGTCTCGGATGTGGTCGGCGTGTGTGAACCGCACAACCTGCGCCACTTTCGCTAAATATGTCACAGGACTGACGACTTGAGTCACCACACCTTCTTCCCATGACACTAGTTGCTTCTGCTGGGCAGCGCGGGTGCGATCCCATCCTCGTCGCCAATGTGCTAACTTGAGCAGACGACATTCCAACGGGCAAAGAGGGCTTCTTTATTGAACGCGCTATACTTATAGGCGCTTGTCACGTGACATCCGTGACCGGGGTGCGCACAGCCGATGCGCCGTGGTGCGCCGTGACTTGCAGCGCCACGCTGCTACAGTTACTATTTGAAAATTCCACTTTCTAAGGCTTAGATGTGTCAGGAAGTTGAGGCCCTCGTGCTTTGCTCCGTCGCGGACTGTTTTAACAGTTCTGGAAGGAAAATTGCGTGTTTTCCTACTTCAGATAACTGGAGCGATAAGACGGCTGCAGTGCTGTTACTCTGCAGCGTAACTTTTATTCTAGCCCTAGCTACACCTTTAGATATATAAATGCACACCGCATATAACTTTAATTTTACTTTTAATTCCTAGGTTCTAAAGATTCCGCGTGAGCTACCAAACGGCGCAAGAAAAGTAAACTGCCAGTTTTTTCTTGTTTTTTTTAGAAAATAAAAGTTACAACACTACGTACGCAAACCTTTTTGTCCTACCTTGAGGAAAACAGTTTGAACGCCACAGGTATTTGATGTCTATAGGTAGACTTACGAGTAGATAAGGCAGCGATAAGTGCAATTTCTTTCCCTACCATATCCCGCATTGTTTCGTTTTACCTTTTCTGTAGTATAAATTGACGCACTCGCAGCTTCTGAAGTGCACATGCATTAATTACTATGTTCTGCTGGTGTGTGTTAAACTGTAGTTATGGCGGAGTTTCACCGAATTAAGGTAAATGTGGCGGTAAATGTTCTGTTCAAGTTTATATAATACTCTTCAATTGCATGGCTCATCAGGCAGAATGCCGAATAGTACGTGAACATGCGGAGCTACAAAGCATATTGGGCGTAATATTTAACACCTTCCAGCGAATAATTGTATTGTTTATAGTGCTGTAAGGTATCTATGATATATATTTCGTGCAGAATATGAGACAACAATTTACGGCGAAAACTGCCAGAGTTGCGCCGAGCCACCAAGCTCGGTAAAGTGCAGAGTTGAGCTGGTTGGTGAAAATACATCATATTAAAAACAGCGCACGAGCAGTGAGGAAGAGAAGAGAACACAGCGCTCTGACTCCAGACTTATATATTGCGAAATAAAGTGGAGAACAACGCACCAGAAATGAAACACGTATTTTTTACGGTGCGTGTGTTTCATTTCTGATGCCCCGTCTTCCTCTTTATTTCAAAAAGCTGCAGTTGGGAGTCAGCACTTTATTTTCTCTTCCTTTTCTTCGTCACTGCTTGTGCGCTGTTTTTGGTATGACACCAAGCTCGGAATAATATGATACTAAAAATACGATATGCACAAGGGCACAGAGCACGCCGTCCCATGGTCCCTTCACACTTTACATTGTTCAGATTTTATTGTATTATGAACGTCGTCTTTCGCTAAGACCCCTCAATTTTTTCGCCCTGTTTGGCATGCAGTGTATTGCATTGTAGAGAAGATAAGTATTTTTTCAAGTAGAACTATCCCAAGCATTTCCTGCGTCATATTCCCTATATTAAAAACTATACTACTCCAACTTATGATACCACTATTGTCACGAGTTAAAAAAAAAAGAAGATTTACTAAAGGCACTGAAGTTCACAATTTATGTGGGCGAACTTGCGTGCAAATGAATGGTACCGTGGATTCTGCGACAGAAATAATGAAAGTATTGAGAGCCACCAGCCGCCTAGGTTTCTTTTCATACACTCTAAGTCATCCCGGTCTTTCCATGGCAATAAAACGCTACAAGCGCCGCAATCAAACTTGAACTTTTTTCAAAACTTTTCTTTTTAAAATATAAGCTTCTACCTTGAATAATATTGTTCTTAAGTGAAAGCCATGACGCTAAAAACTTGGCCAATATTTTTTTTAATTCTTTTTTTATAGTTTAAAACGCTTGCGGAATTTTCTATAAATTTTAAACTAAATGTGTTTTTTTACAGTCCCAACGGAGCGATATAACTGGAGAAGACCACGTAAGTGAAGTCGGCTATTAAACACTCACAATTACATTTATTTAAAAATGTAAGCTATTCATGGCGCAACAACGACAGACACAATAGTTATTTGAATATCTATTATAAAGTTAGCAAATTTTGTAATATTCTAACTGACAATTTAAAAAAATACGGCATCTAGATAAATTGTGCACTGCGCTACCAAGTCAAAAGAAACACGGCATCAGTATTTCTTCACATTTGTTTTGCATAGTTTAGCGGCGAGTAGCGACTCATGTCGTGTAAGATGGTGCCGCATATAATCAGAATTTATTATACAATCGTTTTGATGCCATCTTTTGAACTGTGGGAAAAAAAAATTTAACATTCCAGATTTGTGATAATTGTGTCTTGATATGAATGCGTCAGTAAAATTATAAGAGGTCCCAATTACACACGATATATATTTTGGAATGATCATTTATGCCAAATGGAGGTCTTCAAAAGAGGTTAACCGTGCAAAAGATAATACATAGAAAGCAAATCAAACACAGCCCTAGAAACATTAGAAAATTACAGTAGACGACGTGCAAAATTGAGTCACTCACGACACGAAACAGAGAAATAAAAAAAAAGTATATTCCAATTAGAAGCTTGCTGAGCGTTATCGAAAAACTCTAAATCAGTTATTTTCAGAAAGACATTTATCGCGTGAGAAGCGTAGTAGTGCACTAAAGTTACCACTCATGGAGCAGGTACAAGGCTAGCGGTTTTGGTAAGGCGCCCGCGCAATTTTTCCGTCTCTTATCTAGCCCCATCCTTGTACCTGCTACACGAGTGGTAAATTCAGCGCACCATTGTGCTTCTTACGGGATCAAAGTCTTTCTAAAAATTATAGATTTAGGGGTGTTGGACGACGCTCAGCAAGTTTCTAATTAGAACCATATGTCTATTTTTACTCATTAAAACGTTAATTAGTGAATTTTAACTAATTAGCCGACTTATCGCAAAGATGAACCACCCACATGATGTCCCCCTGGGCGTATAACTCACTCGTACAAACCACATAAGTGTAGGTTTGATGACGTTTTTTAAACAAATCTGCAAGAAACAAAAAATAAACAAAAAAACACCCGGTATATTATAAAGAAGAAAAAAGAACGAAGATACAAGGTATGTTTGTATGAACAATATCAGTTTCGCTGCAAAGCTAGTCATGTCTTCTGCATATGGATGCCTTTAGTATATGCGTCCTATAGAGGTTTCTAAGTACGGCCTCTGGAAACCGCTATCTTGCTGCTGGAGTGGGTAAATTGTCTGATAGTCAAGCATTGTTCAGGCGTACCCACGGTTTCAGAGACTGGCGCCCATAAAAAGCGTTCTCCATCCACAGTGGCCGGACTAACTCTCGAAGCGATGCTGCTTGCAAACGTCTATAGAAACAACATTCTCGGGGCCGATTTCTCCCCGTACCTTTCTGCCTGGTTAATATACGAATAGTTCGATAAACACAGAAAGATATTTGACTCGTTAAGAAAAATACACGTAAACATACACAAAAAAATATATATAGTGAAGTCATTGTCCTTCTCCCAGTGCTTCACTATTCTCTGTTGTAGGCTGCCCTTCCTGAGATAAAGATAATCCCGGGGTGCCGAACCATAGTCAAATGTTTGAAGAATTTCGTCCAAATCGGTCGCTATTCATTTTCGCGTTGTGTCCTTCATAGTTAATAACTACCATCTGTGCATAAAAGTAAAGGCGACACCTTCCTTACCACTTAGAAGTAAAGGCATTGTCAGGCATGGTTCTGCCTAACACTACTTTGTGGCCACGATTGTTTAGGATACTCTGTCTTGATAATTATTTACTTTTATGAGCCACTCACATTATGGACGATTTTTCTGAGGAGCGGAGGTGTCCATATTAACAAAACACGTATTTAGGATGTGTCGTTAACACTCTAGAAAGTCGATGTCATGAGATTTTCTTTTGCTAATATTTCAACTTAAACCCAGGTTCAATGATATGTAGATAAGACCTAGATGTTGGTGGTTATAGTGGCAAAAGTGGAACGAATTATGTTTCTTTTTCTTGGACAAAATGTACTGATTTGTACGGTACTTCTGACACCCATTGAAGAATATAGTGTGCCACTCAGTGTGTGACGTATTACTTTTTTTGTCACTTTTAACCAGAAATTGAGAAAAGGCACAACGATATTTTGGTTACGGCCGTGCAAATATTGGAGTTTCGAATTCATACCCAATAGTGATTGATTCCCAGAATAAATCGATTCCATTATTCGATTTCTGTTATTCAAATTTGCGAATAATTTGATATATTCAATGCTCCTGTTAAAAAATTCCCGCAGGCCTCGCCTGAATGTAAATGAAGTCTTTATTGAGGAATCAATACCCACTAACCATTTAGAAAAAAATGTATATATGTACATATATAGTTTCTTCATGTGTTCCACGAAAGAAGCAGTCGCGCTCGTGCTCATTTGACACGCTCGACGAAAACACGCAAACCGCACATGTCGCCGTCTTGAATCCAAGTACCACTTACCGGCAGCTCTTATGCTACGAGCTACTTGCTCCGTTTATAGCGCGGTGATCATCTGCCAAAGCACAAATAATAACTATAGCTACACCCGCTTTTTTTTGGTGATTCGCTGATACGTTGCTTCCCGCTATTGCAAGCGAGGGGCCACTGATAGGTGGCCCAGGACGTCGCTTCGAATTAAAGAGCCTCAGTGTGTACGAAGGATCGCTACTTTGATTCAAACACTTCAGCCATATCTGTCCATTCATTTTCAACCATTTTGAATCTGTGTATCTACCCGTGAATGAGAGGATCCATTCCTGATAGTACTAGTGCCTCCTATATATGTACTTTCAACAACCAGCAGCAAAGAGCCACCGCCGTCCTCGCAAGTAAAACGCTTCGCCACTAGACGCTTTATGGAAACAGGGTCGTTGGCCACCGCTACTGTGATACCCGCTGTACATATAGAACCTATAGCGTTCACGCATGCAGTGGTGACGAACGTCGACCTCTACCGTGTGATGAAATCGCAACGCTAATGCATTATTTTTATGTATATCTTTGTGCGATTTGCTCTGAAAGCAGGCTTCTTTTTTGAGTCGCCACGTTCGTCCTCCCAGAAAAGGGTTATTTCTCGAAACGCAGATTGCATACCTTTGAGTAGCATGGCGTCGCATTTGGTGCCCAGCGTTTTTGTTGTACAGCAAAAAGCCACTTCTTTTTTAGGCGGGGGTCAGCAAGGACTTTATGAAAGAAAGCCTTTCTGACTTTTGTCATTCGTCCGACTTCCATCGGAGCAGAGGAAACGTGTGTCATTTCAGCGTTGCTTCAAGGTGAAATCACACAAAAATGTCTCGAATGTTGAAGACAAACTATAGACGGAAGCAGACGACGCGGACCCTATATAGTGGGCCTGGATTTCAGCATCTGCATCACAGTCACGTGGTTTATGGGCCGAGTTCGCAATATTAGTTGCCTGGAGGTCAAATCTAGCTTCGATCGTTGGCAAGCGTCTGCGCCTTTCCGTCGGCTTTCTTCCTCGTCACGCCGACAGCGTAACCAACACCTCATCGATAAAAAAAGAAACTGTGCTGAATGTTTCTGCGCCACTAAAGAGAACCACCGTGGGCCACAGATAGGACACGACTACGGCGCCAGTGTTCGGCTAGGAATCGTGTTCTCACTGATTGCACACAACTCCAAGCCGAACGCAAACGCCGCAATCGAGTCCAAACAGTGGCTCGGGTGGCTTTCTTTATTGAAGCAGGCACATTTATCGCTTAGGCTTTCCTATCTCGGTGGTGTTGGTGCAACGCATGCTAACCTGCGAAAAGTCTACCAAGGGCAATTCATCATTAAACTGTTCGAGTTTTCCATGGTTTGACCTGCTCCCTTTCTAAAATCTTGGCTCCCTTGGCTGCTGGCTCGAGGGATGAGGCTGAACCAACGTTTCTAGAAGGACTAAGATGGGAAACTTCCATAGAGTGTGCTTTGAAAAAGTGGCTTCCACCTGTGCTCCAGAACCGAACTGTAGGCGGTCGCAACGTCGGCATTTCTCCCGTAGCGGAAACTCTGGGAACTGTACTGCAGTAGAGCACTATATAGCTCCTTCGGAGCAGAGTAGCGCAATCTAGAACGCCATCTCTCGGCGAGTAGCGGCGAACGCCCGAGGGTTCCAACTCCGGTCAATAATGCATGGAGAACGTGACAAAATCGCCGTTTCTGAAATATTTTGGGTGTGCAGGGAACGACAATATTTTTCGACATAATAAATGAACAGTTTACAATAAGTTGCGATAAGTTGTCTGCCATGTAATAACGTAATTTCTTTTAAAAATGCTTGAGCGGCATCATGCAGCAGACGACGCGGCAACGTCGTACGGTTCACGTGCCCGCTCCGGCCAATCCATAAAGTCCATCTCCGCTGCGCAAAGCAATCGTCTGCTCGAAAAGCCATTGCCTTGAAAATTGCCTTCTCACAATTTTCACACGCATCCAATATTATTAAAACTGATGAACTATTTAGTGCTTTACCAACTTCTCGACAGACTAGTTTCGAAAAGTGTGAACTCGGCGTTCATTTTTTAGTCAGCCGTGTTGAGTCGATCTCCATGTATTCTCCCATAGAGCGGGCCGCCTCTTGGAGCCCTCAGTACCACGTGACTCGCGCCGAGCTGCTCTGTCCGCCATGTTGTCGGCGAAACACGCGGATCAAAGGATTGCGCTACTCTGCTCCGTAGGAGCTATGTAGTGCTCCTGCAGCACATCTTCAAGTACCGATCCAGGTAGAGTCGCGCAAGGGTCGGTGCCGTCATCTCGCATTGCCATTTCGCACTAGCACTCTAAATTAACTTTCCTGTTTTGACTAATCTCTGAAGGGTGGTGCTGTTATAGTATTTAGTATGGTATCGGTGGACGCGAGCGGTTCGGATTTCAAGGGTATGTCTCCCAACTGAGTGCTTAGTAACGTTGGGCTGAATCCAAAGCCTAACCCCTTTGAATTGTGCGACGGCTCGCGCCACCTAGCCAGTGTATGCATGCGTTTTATTTCTTCTAACATTTATTTAAGGTAGAGTTATACATCTACAGATGTATTTTAAAAAGCTGCTATAAACCGTACGACGGGGGCGCCTCTGCGGTACCAGGTGCACACAATTCGCGCCCTACGGGTCGCCCGGAAGGGAATAAAGAAACATTCCTCCTTGCCTCGACCTATGCCGGTAGTCAGATAATCTCTTCTTGGTTATCTCCCCCTTCCCCATGTCTATTTTTTCCTCACTGTTCCTAAATCCCATTGCGTTCGTTACATTAGTCGCCTCTTCAGCTGCTACAGAGTGAAGACTCTTACAAAACCTGTGAACATGAATTCCTCACTCGGTCGCCACGAGCGGTAGCGCGACTGCCTCGGGAGCCTGTTTCTCCAGGGAACGAAAGTACTGTATATAGGAGGCACTGGCTGTACTGGCCACCAGTTTGTCACTACCAAGCATGGCAAGTGATCAATGACGCCATTTATTTGTGCTAGAGGCTCTTCAGTCAGCGCGCTTTGGGCAGAATATGCGCATAGTTGCCTTTTTTGTTTTTTTGTCTACGCGTTCTATTTGTTGTTTTTTTTGTTGCTAGTTTTATTGTATTGGATTTCTAGATTTGCGGTGTGTCTTTAAATTTACAATGAAATAGGAAGAGCCAATGGCTGCAATCTACGAACCGAACTCGCTGAATGACAAAACTCAAAGTACGTTTACACCAGGGAGGGAGGGGGGAGGGCCTCTTTGAAAAAAAGAAGAGGAGAACTGTTCGCGCTACGGCGTTGAACATGACGTAAGGACGTGAGACATCAAGCTCAGTGCCACAGCGCACTACTTTTTTGAGTCTGAACAGATTTTCAACCTAGCCCATCGCCGTGTTGCCTCATAGGACTGCAGCCATTGGCTCTCTTAAGTGCTTTTTTTACAGTACAAATATATTTGACGTTTGGTTTGATGACGCTAATTCGATTCCAACTAGAATTTTATGATTAGCGCAGTTCTAGTTTTAATAATTTATTTTATTGCGCCAAATGAATGTCTTTTTTTTTCAGCAATCCGACCCCAAGTACGAATCCCCAACGTTTTCGAGGTCGAGGTGTTTTTTATTTTCACTGAAGACCACCACAAGCAGTTTCTAAATGAACAACAGCTATTACAATATGCAGCGCTAAGTGTTGAGATGGTATGACTTCTCCCCTTCATAAAGATTATAGAGTAATGTTTTTTTGTGTTTTTTTTTGTACTCTAGAATGTATCCGATTTTCGTCTGCTTATTTTCAGGTCGGAAAGCCAATTATTTAATTATAACTAGGGCCCCGTGCTATTCAATGCTTTTCTTTTCACTATGTGCTCTTAAGGTTTATGTTCCCTAGAATTCGGGAGTGTTTTGGGAAGTAAACTTTTTCCCCAAAATACGTTGTTTTTTTTGTGTGTGTGTGTGTGTTTTTTTTTGTATTTTCTGTTTCGGGAGATTTATTGGTGTTTATGCGACTCTATGTTGAAGCAAATTAGATTGGAAAAGGGAATTTCACAACCTGCAGGCAACATACAAAAGCCCCGCAAACTTTAAAAATGTCTTCTTACCAAAAAAAAAAAAAAAAAAAAAAAACGAAACAAGGGGTCTTGTTTCAAAGAAAGAAACAGCCTTGCTAAGAGCCTCGGGCATAGTTGATGTGGGGAAAGGGAGAGGTGAAGGGGGGGGGGGGGGGGGGGGGGGGGCAAGCTCTCATTCAGATTCGCACAAAATAAAACTGCTCGGGGAAAAATTTGGGGAGTTTATCGGCATGGACTGAAAACGCGGAGCAATAAATGTAAGGTTGTACGGAACGTTACTAACACCATTAATCATCAATTTTAACACGTTCACTGCAGCAGCTCTTTTTTAGGCCTTGATTCCTATGTGTCATACCCATGACCAAACCGGTGATCTCCTGTCATTTCCCTCGGTTGCCTCGTGTCCTAGCCGGTGCCAGTAAAACTGCCATCTGGTGCCACCGAGATGTGGCGAGAGCGGCAATGCTCTTGGTGCTGTGTCAGGCTTTTCAAAACGTGCCGATCTAGCGGAAGACCTCATCGCGTGGCCCACCGGTACCCTAAGTCGCACCGGGTGATAAATACACAAATGCGGACGAAGGATTTTGGCGTTTAGCTTTGAACTACCGAAGCTCAAATTATTATTTTACTATAAACAAGTAATGCTAGTACAGTGACCGCCCGTATACCGCTGATGCTCAAGGGTTATATATTTTGTAGTACATTTTACTGAAAGCACCTTCAGAGCATTTCAGTGAAACAAAAAGAAACTTAAAATTGCTAACATTCTGACGTTTTCTCTAACAATACTGCCTGTATTGTCATCTTCAGAATGACCACTATCTATTGACGTTCTATGGCTTCTGTTTGCGCCGATTCTTGAATCATGCCAGAAACATAAATGGCTTTCCCGAACAGTCTCCGCAGAATTTCGTGAGACTCTTCGCCATCTATCAGGCCTCCGTTGGGCTGCCACGTCCACTGATCGGTGCATAACAACCCGTGCACTGTCTTCGGGTCTTCTGTGCAGGTTTAGCAGCTAACTTGAGCTTGCGTGCGCGCTTTTTCCCTGATGTTGTCTTGTAATTGTAGCGCCGACCAAAAAGAGAATGTGCCATCATCTGTCAATTTTCGCTTAATGACTGATGACATAACAACGGTATTTTTTCAGGTCGAATGCAGACGTGATTAATGCGTGACGATGCTAGCTGACCCGCTACTATCTCTTCTCGTGTAGGTGTAGTAATAACGTTCACGATGCCCCACCCCCATGTGCCACTATATTCAAATAATCACACACGTCAAACCTATCCTGCTTCGCAACATCCATATTTTCACCAGCCAAGCAAAACAAACATAGGTTACTCATTGTAGGGAGTATTTCTTTCAATTCGTCAAGAAAACTGCTAATACTCTTCGAAGGGGGACTTTAAGAAGCTAAGAAAAATATCACAGAACAAGTATTGTCAATTTTAAGGGCAATCGCTTCTGCGTGAGAAAACGAGATGTCATTTCCAGAAACTAGCCACGTGTTTTCAACGAAAACCGCGAGCCCCCACCCCCAGTATTCAATCGCGAAAACCTGAATGAATTATAACCTGCTAGCTCATATTGATTACAGCAGTCCTCACAGACATTCGTTTCGGTAAGTACAAAAATGTCGGTGTTTGCCGTCACGTCTTTCACCACGACGTTGAAGAGGTTCCAATGCTTCCTTGTGCTTCTTATGTTCACCTGTAATACCATAAAAAAGTTGGTTCTGTATATTAATATTGTGTTTCAAAACACTCAAATACGTACATTCCTAAGAGTTAGTCCACATTGTTCTAGCCTGCATGAAGAATCTCGTTGACTGCGTGATAATAATAGAGCTACATGATGTGGGGTGGGATTCCTTTGGAAGCCTGAAGGGGCTGCAGCTCCAGCTAAATTTTTAGTATATGCCTGTGTTGTATTGATATGTAAACTGGTCAATGAACCATATTCGAGCTTGCGTGCTCTACAAACTACACCTCGAAAACCCGCTAAAATATTGGTCTTACTATAGAGTTTTAGCGGATCATTTCTGCGCTCCGATGACGATACGCAAAAACGACACGATGAACTTCTTCCTTTATTTATATATTTAGATTGATGTGGTGGTTGCAACCCTGAAAGTTGAACACTTGCCTGGCTTACAAGAATTATTCCAACCTGAACTCGCTAAATCAATCAAGCCATTTTTATTTAGTTATGCGTCTACAAATAGCGACCAGATCAGCACTTGAATATGTTGCTTTCAGGGCACAACCAAGTCACTCCTAATTGTGCATTCAGCGGAACGCAAAAAGATGAAACGAACCCACGATCAAAAAAATTGAGAAGTTCTCACCATGCCATGCCGTGAAAAAGAAAGACCTTCCCGTCGGTTCGCTGTAGTCAAGGTCTCCATAGTCATCTTTGGAGAAACTCAAATATGGACATTTTCACATCCGCTGTAAACTATCCATCAGCCTCTGGACGCATATACACCTAATGCAACCAGCAGGACTAGCTCAACAAAGCCATCGAAGAAACGAACGCGACGGAAAACCGTTGGGGAGAAAAAAAGAAAAAACAAACTTAACACCTTACTGCGAAGCTTTTTTTTTTTTTTTTTTTTTTTGTTAGGTTAGCTTTGCCTAGTCAGAGGGGTAGAGAGAAAATAAAAGAAAACGTGCATTGCAAAGAAGCCAACTGTCACGGGATCCTTGCGAAGAGGCGCGCTATCAGTTTAGCCTAATCATGGAGATGCCCCTTGAAGGGAGAGAGAGAAGTGCTACGGCTAGGTGGTGTTGCTCCCCTCCCCTTTTCCATCTGCTCCCTTCCCTACCTTTCCCTTCCTCATTTCCACGTCCTGCCTTCCCTATCCCTCCCTCGCCTTCCTACAGTGCCTGCCCTTCCCTCCACTCTCCAGTTTTCTGTTTTCCCCATTCCCTTTCCTTGGTCACGTGACCACACGTATTCCGTTTCTTCTAAATTGATAAAAAGAAAAGTTCTTCATTTCCCAAACGAGTGTTTAACGTCTTTTAAACAGTTTCAATGTCTGCTTCAATGACTGAATTATAGAACTTGAAAGAGGAATGCCGTTGCCCAGTTGTAGCATCTATTTGTTGAAAATGAAACAGGCTAAGACAATACCAGGTTTTATATTCGCTAACTCGGATTTCTGTGAAGCTTCGAAAATGAAAAGATAGAGAATAAGGTAATGCACACTAAACTTGTGATTTCATTTTTTCTCCGCGTTCAAGATATCGCTAATCAGGGTTTTGGACGTGCGTTTTGTCCAATATCAATTCATTAGTTCCTTCAATACTATATTCTATCTGGAAACTACTGTCAGAGAGCACGGCAGAAACGTAAGTAATCTGGTAACTCGCTTCCCGCATCAGTTCAGGGGTATCGTCACCGAACGACGAACAAGGCCACATGCATAACTAGGAGTACGTACAGAAGTCCGAAATTTAGGCTCGAAACCGCTCAGCAGGTCTCGATGTGGTTCGATATATCGGTTCTATTGGCAGTTTGCTACAAGAAACACATTTTGCATCAGAACCTAACGGGAAAAAAGTCCTAAAGTACCAATGCTGCCGGGAGTGCTCTGGAACTGAAATGTACAAAATCGGAGATATCTCATAGTGGCGAGCCCGCCAGTGCCCTCTAAGCGCCCGTCGGGCAATTACTACGATTTGTAAATGCGATGGTGGTGGCGGGGAGTAGAAAGCGTTCTAAACACCCCCTCCCCCTCTTGGTTACGTTCTTTCCCATGCCCTTGTTCTCAGCCGCTGATATAAAAACTTACTAAATTTAACCCACCTTTTTCCCAAGGTGAACCTGCGATACCACGATACTTCGATTCCGAGAATTCGCTTTGTTCTGGTTGGTATTATGATGCTGGAAAAGGTATGTGGCCTTTCATTTGTCTCTCTTTATTGCTCTCTGTTTGTTTCCCGTTTCTAAGAAACTTGTTACGAAAAATCATATTGTTTTCTAGTGGAACTCCATTATGCAAACAATAGAAGCTGCAGATGACTTGAGGCCCCAAACACACCGAAAAAGATATATGCTCTCTGGGAACACGCTGACTAATCTAGCAGATGCTGTTCAAACGGGACACGTCAAAGTTGTGGCAGACCTGGTCGTCTTGATTACATCGTAAGATCAATCAAACTATAAACTTTTTTTTTAAATAAGTGCTAGGGCCACATTGTACACAGCGGGACCAACCGCGACCAAGGTACCGGGAAAACGCTGTCTGCTGGAACTGATCAGCGGCGCGGCGCTGACCAATCGCAGGAGATAACGTTGTCCGGCTCCCATGATGCCGCTTGGTTCCCCACTCTGAAGTGATTGCGCAAAGAAAACACTTTGGGAGGAACAGATAGCTATTTTAGAGCGACGCTCTTAGGCTCCCATTTCCGGCTTGAGCGGCTCGCCGTCGGCGTAACCGAGGTGACGTTTCGGCACGATGACGTTTCGGCACCATGACAAAACGTCGCCCTCGTGACGTTTCGGGGAGGGGAGGAGGAGGGGAGGAGGAGGAGAAAGGAGGGGAGGAGGGGGAAGGGGGAAGAGGGGGAGGGGGTAAAGAGGATCGGAGGTGAAGGAGGGGAGGAGGAGAAGGAGGACGAGAGAGGAGGAATGAGGAGTAGCAGGGAGGATGAGGTGGGGAGGGTATACCCTTCCCTTAGTACCCTTCCCTTCTCCTCCACAAGAGCTGCGCTCTAATTCAGCGTTACAGGGAGTTCTAAGCGGCTTTCATTTTTTGACTGTCTTGTTACGTTCCATGGCACACTTTTTTGCAATGCCACACTTGATTAGGATAGTTGGTTCGTACTTAAAACAAATAAAAACGCGAACAGGAGAAGTATGAAAAGAAACATACAAGAAGGGTCTGCACCCGTCATTATCTAGGTGTACCTTTTTTGTCCTTGTCATGTTCGTGCTCTTGAAGATGTTCTCTATTTGTTTTTGTTTTTATTATATAACAATACAGCCTTTTTAAACATTTCTTCTTGCCTAAGGTAAATTATAGAAGCCAGCATTTACTAGCGCGAACATAATGTCATACATAATTATGAAAAATCCCGATATGTTGGTAAATAAAGTGGCACTGGAAGAATACTAATTCTCAAGCAGAGCTGAAAATTGATATAAGAAGTTTGAAGATTTGTTTGACATCAGCTCATTGTACAATTACATTTTGTTTATAAAATCATAGCTGCCAAAATCTTATGCACACATATTCGGCTCGGGATAACATATAGCAGGGAGGGGACTTCGGGCTCGTCAAGCCTCCTCTGGAGGCTTTTTTTCCTTCTGCCCTCCAATTCATTTGGAAATAAAGTTTTATTATTATTATATTATTTCATTGATGGATGCTAATGTTATTCACGCGACGGGTCTCCATTTAATTATATTCCTTGAGTCACAAGGGAAACCTTAAAGGCCAACCTGCACTTCGAGCTTTCCTCTTTTGCCCACCTCCTTTCCTATATTCTCCCCACCTTTTATCTTGCCCCAACTAGGCTTCTCTCGCGGCTTAGGAGATTGGAGTACAAGGAGGATTATTTTGTCAGCAGAAAACCGAGGTTTCACTTCGTCCTTTAAAGGGATGCTGAACCGAAATCTGGATTCCAAAAAACACGCGGCAGAGCGTGCAACGGTATGCTACAAACACCAAAACATCACTCATACAGCAATATCTCGAACGGATGACCGTAATATTCAAGATAAGGAGGCACACTTTACAGAAATGTTCACGTCATGTTTCTCCGAGAAGGAGAGGGGACGGTCTCGCGTCTTCTCCTCCTCGGGGCCTTGATGGAGCGAAGAGAAAAGGGGAGGAAACTATACTCCACGACAACTTTTCTTGGCAATGCAGTGGAAGGTACAGGCCCGCGTCCCCTCTCCCATTTTGAGTGTACGCAGGCTCTCTTCCTCCCCCATTTCCAGGAGAGGAGGAGAGCCCCCGCAAACTCAAAATGGGAGGGGGGACGCCGGCCTGTACCTTCCACTGCATTGCCAAGAAAAGTTGTCGCGGAGTATAGGCATCTTCACGGTCACGCGCCTCGTCGGCCTGGTTCAATCTCGACCTCTTTATCCGAAAAAACGCCCTTCAATTCGAGATATCGCCTTACGAGTAGTATTGTAGCGATTGTAGCGTCCGACCTACATCTCGTGCATTGTTGTTTCTGAAATCCAAATTTCGGTTCACCACTTTTTTAAAGGGATACTTCAACGATATTTGAAATATTCCCGTCGTGTTCAAAAAGAGGTTGAATATGATCCACAATATCCGTAAATGGCAATCGCACGTTTGTATTTTGAGCCTGGTGGCTGTATTTTTCGTTATAAACGGCCCACTCAGGCAAGCGCTCGGAGAAGGCCCAGCTTAGAGCACGTGACATCCAACGCAATCGTGACGTAGGTCGTCTCAAGACGAGCAAAGCTACGGCGAGGCTGACGTAGAGAGGATGGCCTAGTCGTTCCAGCCACCGAAGCGGCTGCTTTTGTACGAATTTTGAGTGATGGGTTAATCTTCTATAATCTTCTAGGGGGACAATAGCGACTTCTGCGACACACAAAAGGGGTTCTCGGGAAGAGGGGAGTTTCTCCTTCCCCCCTTCTCTCGTCGTGGCCGAAGACGAGACAACCTCCGTCACTAGCTGCCAAGGTTGCTAGACGGGCATTACAAGCGAGGCGTTAGCGACATCCACCAGGTGTTCTTTGTTAATCGTTTAATTCGTTTTAAAATTCCTTTTCGTGACTTTTTTAACAAGATATTGGTATGTTCGATTTGATGGTGCTTTTTTGAACACATATAGACCAAAAAATGAGCGCCGAAATTTCGTTGTAGTATCCATTTAACTAAATTTAGCCGCCGCCCTCTACTTCCGAATCGGCGAGGGGAAATGATTGCACAATTGCTCAAATATAATTAAACTAAATACCTTCTAAACCACCGTCTAATTTGTAAACCGAACGCTCTGAGGAAACCAGTCACACTAGCGACGCACATGGCAGAAATTTATTTGTTCTTTTTTTTAGAGATAGGCAATGCTATAGCGCATCTATACTACGCCAGCATGCCACGATTTAATCAAGGTTCATAACCACAGGGCGTGACCTAATATGACAATGCTTCGTGCTTCGTAATACTTACTTTTTCATACATATATGTGATCCTTATAGCTGATGCTATAATTCAAATGGACGCGTAGTCAAAAGATACCGAAGGCCAAACCTATCTTAAGCAGTCACTGGCCATAGGCTGTTTTTGTGAAACGGTTGCCATGTTGGAATATGACGTAGTTGGGTTGGGCGACAAGAACAAGAACAGACCAAGAAGTAAATAGTTTAAGCATAACCTCAACAAACAAAAGTCCAGCCATGAATAAATTAAACTAATTGTGTGAACCACTTGAATTCTAGCGCCTTCCAATCGGCAAATAAAAATATTTGCAGTTCTTTTTCCCAATTCATGCTACGTCATATTTTAACGTGGCGGCCGCCGCGATAAAACAGCCTATAGCTGACAAGTTAGGTAACGCAAAGTGGGGCTTATTGTATTTATTATTTGTTTTAAATTTGTTTACTGATTAGATGCAGCAATAGTATTGGCTGCAAACGAATCTCGAGAGTATAGAGCCCCGCCCTGCGTTTCTGAAGCTGTCATGAAATACAGAAAACTTGTTTAAATATTGACGCGCGCCAAGTAGGCAGCGCGGCCGTAGCCTAATGGTTATCGCGCTTGCCTCCCACGCGAAGGGCCAGGGTTCGATTCCTGGCCGCGACTATGCATTTTTGTTAACACTGTAATGTGATGTTCTGGTGAAATCGAAAACCGTCTAGCTGATTCGAGGTCAGAATGTTCTAGGCGGCGAACCTTCTACGTCGAATGCTCCAGAAGCCAACGTGTGTACGAAAGCGGCTCCGCGGGCAAGCCGGAGTCAGTCTCGCCCCAGCGTTCGACTCTGCTGCCACGCCGACTCCGACGCCCGCGACGCTCTATTATTATCTTTTGTACTCTTTTATTTTTGGCACAAGTTCGCCACATTAAACGTTTATTTCTTCCTGTTTATTTATTGTTTTTTAGTCACCACCCGTGACATTTTGGTGGAGGTGCGGGGTACCGCATGCCCGTGCAGCGTTCCCCTCCCAGGACCCGCAGTGCAAGCCCGACTCCAAGCTCGCTGAGAAGACCACTCAGCGCGGAACCTGAAACTCGGACCAGCCGCCGCACCAAAGGAGAGGATCCGGAGTACGGTTTGCTCCTGGACAAACCCAAGCCTAAGAAGACGACGATGGACAACCAGTCGCAGGCCCCCGCCGCTGCTGCCGTCGTCTACCTACCCGTCGCTCCTAGGACACCGGCTCCCTTCCACGGCGAAAGCCACGAAGACATCGACGACTGGGTCCAACAGTACGAACGAGTGCCCGTCATAACGGGTGGACACCGGAACAGTGTCTGCAAAACGCTTACTTCGCCTTGGAAGCCACCGCCCGGAACTGGTTCAAGAACCACGAAGCTTCGATCACTTCCTGGGAGCAACTCAAGGCTGAGTTGCGAAGAACGTTCAGGAACCAACAACGAAGAGAACGCGCGGAAGAGCTTCTTCAAGCGAGGATTCAAGGCCCTAACGAGAGCGTAGTTAGCTTCGTGGAAGATGTCCTGCGACTGAGCAACCGCGCCGATCCCGAAGCATCCGAAGCAAAGAAGCTCAGAGTCTTGATGCGTGGCGTCAAAGAAAACATTTTCGGTGGTCTTGTGCGGAGCCCGCCTACCACCGTCGAAGGCTTCATGACGGAGGCCACCAACATCGAACGTGCCCTTCAAGCACGAGCCACCCACTATCACCGAGTTCCCGGCGTCGGTTCCTTTTCGCCTTCCGGCTGCAACACCACAGACATCCGCGAGATCATCCGAGACGTCGTCCGGGAAGAGATCAAGAAACTTCTACCTGCCGCCGCAAGCCCAGCTTCGCCCTCAATCGCCGAGATTGTCAGGGAAGAAGTCCAGCAAGCGCTGCAGCCTGAGGTTCTCGTCAGCACCGCTTCGGAACCACCGACGTTGAGTTACGTCGCAGTGGCCCGACGGCCACCGCCTCCTCGTCGCACCTATGTCACGCCGCCCCGATGTCAGTCTCCTGCGCCGCAGCACGACCGACGCCACGACGACCGGGTCCAGTACGCCTGCCCGGAGCCTCGCGCACCCCGCAAGACCGACGTGTGGCGAACGCCCGACCGACGCCCTCTGTGCTTCCATTGCGGGGAAGCGGACCACACCTACCGCCGATGCCCATACCGACGACTCGGGCAACGGGGGTTCCACCCGAACGACCCGCGCCCCCGTCATGGTGAACGCCCTATCGAGATCGACGAGTACCTGCGACGACCTCAGTCCCCCGTGCCTGCGTCCCGCCGAGAGTTCCGGTCGCCGTCACCGCGACGTCCAGCTTCGCCGATGCACCGATCACGACGTGAAAGCCTGTCCCCCCTCGCTCCTCACCGGGGAAACTAGGCGCGGCAACCCCTGGAGGTGGAGTTGCCGAAGACGACCGACGCCAAGATCCTCCACTGAGGTCGGGGGGCCCCCACTCGAACGCTACCAGAGACCAAAACGACGCCGCTGCAGTGGTGTCCAATAACCTAAACGTCGTCATCGACGGCCACGACGCATCTGCACTCGTGGACACCGGAGCAGACTACTCAGTCTTGAGTGGGAGGCTCTCCCGCCGCCTTCGAAAAGTCATGACGCCGTGGGAAGGACCCCAAATACGAACCGCCGGAGGACATCTCATCACACCAGTCGGGAGATGCACTGCTCGCGTCGAGATCCACGGTGAAACGTGCCCTGTGAAGTTCGTCGTTCTGCAAGACTGTTCGAGGGACGTTATCCTCGGAATGGACTTTCTCTGCGAGTATGGCGCCGTCATCGACCTCGGAACAAACCGGCTGACGCTACGAAAACCTGCTCCACCAGCGGAGGAACCCCAAGCGACGTCACCCACGGTCCGAGTCCTCGCAAACCACGTAAACCTACCACCGCGGTCGAGTGTTTTCGTACTTGTCGGGATCGATGAAGCTTCCTGTGGCGAAGTTCTCCTCGAGGGAAGCCTCCAATTGCTCCTGGGAAGAGGCATAGGCGTCGCAAGGGGAGTAGCTGAAGTTCAGGATGGGCGGACTGTGGCCCTCGTGACGAACTTCCGAAACGAAACGCAACACCTCACGAAAGGTGCAGCCGTGGGCCACGTCGAGAAACTCCGGAACCCCGCCGAAATCAACGCGATTACTGACGAATCCTCGCCGCCCCAGCAAGACAGTACGTCGCCAGCGCAGCTCGACATTGACCCTAAGCTTCCGGACCCTAAACGGCGTCAGCTGGTTAACCTCCTCGCCGAATACCGCGACTGCTTTGCGACGTCGTCGAAGGTGCGCCAGACCGCGGTTGCCAAGCATCGCATCGTTATCGAGGACGACGCGCGCCCTGTGCATCGATCGCCGTACAGAGTCTCCGCTAAGGAAAGGGAGGTGATCCATCAGCAAGTTCAAGAGATGCTGAATGACGACATAATTCAACCTTCAAGCAGTCCATGGGCCTCTCCAGTCGTGCTGGTTAAGAAAAAGGACGGAACTCTTCGGTTCTGCGTAGACTACCGGCAGCTCAACACGGTTACAAAGAAGGACGTCTACCCGCTCCCCCGCATCGACGACACTCTAGACCGGCTGCGCTACTCTCGATACTTTTCATCGATGGACCTGAAGAGCGGCTAATGGCAAATCGAGGTCGACGAACGGGACCGAGAGAAGACAGCCTTCGTTACGCCGAATGGACTGTATGAGTTCAAGGTGATGCACTTCGGACTATGCACGGCGCCAGCGACTTTCCAGCGTGTCATGGACACCGTACTGGCAGGGCTGAAGTGGCAGAGTTGTCTCGTCTACCTTGACGACGTCGTAGTATTTTCAGCTGACTTCGACGAGCACTTGAGACGACTCCGAGCTGTTCTTCAAGCCATTCAGACCGCCGGACTCGCACTCAAGCCGTCAAAGTGCCGGTTCGCCTATGACGAACTGAAGTTCCTCGGCCACGTTGTTAGTAACGACGGCGTCCGCCCAGACCCCGAGAAGACTCGCGCCGTCGCGGCATTTCCAGCGCCGACAGATAAGAAGGCCGTGCGAAGATTCCATGGACTTTGTGCGTATTATCGACGCTTCGTTCGGGATTTCGCAAGGATTTCCGCACCACTTACGAATCTCACGAAAGACGCCGAGAAGTTCAAATGGGCCGAGGAGCAACAGCAGGCATTCGACGAACTGAAACGACGACTCCAGACTCCTCCTGTGCTTGGACATTTCGACCAGGATGCGGAAACAGAAATTCACACGGACGCAAGTAACGTGGGACTGGGCGCAGTACTAGTCCAAGTGCAAGAAGGCATCGAGCGAGTCATCGCCTACGCAAGTCGGACGTTGTCCAAGGCGGAGAAAAATTACTCCACGACTGAAAACGAATGCCTTGCGGTCGTCTGGGCAATAACGAAGTTTCGTCCGTACTTGTACGGGAGCCCGTTCCGTGTGGTCACGGACCACCACTCGATCTGCTGGCTTGCGAACCTGAAGGACCCGTCAGGACGCCTCGCTCGATGGAGACTTCGACTACAAGAGTTCAACATGACAGTGGTCTATAAGTCAGGCCGGAAGCACAGCGACGCTGACTGCCTGTCCAGAGCCCCCGTCGAAACCCCTTCCGGCTGCAGCGACGACAATGACGACGAGCGCTTCCTAGGAGCAGTGAACACCGACGATATGGCACGACGTCAACGGGACGATCCTGAGCTGCGCGCATTAATCGAGCACCTGGAAGGGGGCAGGAGTACCGTGCCACGTGTCTTCTCACTAGTACTGCCGACGTTCGCCATCCGACAAGGTGTACTCTACAAAAGAGAACTTCGGCGACAACAACACACCGTAGTTGCTGGTAATCCCGAGTGACATTCGAGAGGAGATCTTCCAAGCTTGCCACGACGACCCGACATCCGGACACCTTGGTTACAGCCGGACACTGGCCCGTATTCGCGAAAAGTATTACTGGCCGAAGCTCGCCAAGACCGTCCACCTATACACACGATCATGCCGCGAGTGCCAGCGACGCAAGAAACCGCCGACGAGGCCGGCCGGACTTCTGCAGCCCATTTCTCCTCCAACTACGCCCTTCCAGCAGATCGGAATGGATCTACTTGGTCCTTTTCCGCCTTCGATGTCGGGGAACCGCTGGATCATTGTCGCCACAGATTATCTCACGCGGTACGCCGAAACGAAAGCTCTTCCTTCAGGGACTGCTGTGGAAGTCGCCAAGTTTTTCATGGAGTCCATCGTCCTCCGGCACGGCGCTCCCGAAGTTCTGATTACAGATCGCGGATCTTCGTTCATGGCCAAGCTGACGCAAGAGATCCTTCGTCTCAGTGGCACCGGCCATCGTCGAACCACTGCATACCACCCGCAGACCAACGGGCTGACCGAGCGACTCAACAAGACAAACGCCGATATGATCTCTATGTACGTCGACGTAGAGCACAAGACGTGGGACGAGGTGTTGCCCTACGTCACGTTTGCCTACAATACGGCGGTTCAGGAGACCACTGGATTCACACCTTTCCAGCTGGTACATGGTCGGAAGGTAACGACTATGCTGGACGCAATGCTGCCCCATGAGCCATCTGACAACGAGAGCGACGACGCCCAGGCGGTTCCTCAACGCGCCGAAGAAGTCCGCCAGCTCGCCCGACTCATGATTCAAGACCAGCAACGCGTCGACGCGGGCCGCTACAACCTTCGTCGCAGGGACGTTCTCTTCCAGCCCGGAGACAGGGTGTGGGTGTGGACGCCCATCCGTCGCCGCGGCCTCAGTGAGAAACTGCTGAAACGGTACTTTGGACCATAGAAGGTACTTCGTCGCCTCGGCGAGCTCAACTACGAGGTGATGCCCGACGGAACAAGAACATCATCACGCCGCCCACCACGACCTGAAGTCGTCCACGTCGTGCGCCTGAAGCCGTACTATGCTCGATAGGACTGTGAATCCTATGTGTTTCAAGTGACTCTTTAGTTTGCCGTTCTTCTTATGTGCTTTGTTTTGTTTTGGGATGCATCGGGGCGATGCACTTTTTAAGGGGGGAGTAATGCCGCGCGCCAAGTAGGCAGCGCGGCCGTAGCCTAATGGTTATCGCGCTTGCCTCCCACGCGAAGGGCCAGGGTTCGATTCCTGGACGCGACTATGCATTTTTGTTAACACTGTAATGTGATGTTCTGGTGAAATCGAAAACCGTCTAGCTGATTTGAGGTCAGAATGTTCTACGCGGCGAACCTTCTACGTCGAATGCTCCAGAAGCCAATGTGTGTACAAAAGCGGCTCCGCGGCCAGCCGGAGTCAGTCTCGCCCCAGCGTTCGACTCTGCTGCCACGCCGACTTCGACGCCCGCGACGCTCTATTATTATCTTTTGTACTCTTTTATTTTTGGCACAAGTTCTCCACATTAAACGTTTATTTCTGCCTGTTTATTTATTGTTTTTTAGTCACCACCCGTGACAATATGCCTTCGCTCATGCAGTAAATGAAGGAAGTTACACGTATGATTGAAAACTTTACAGTTTAGTTAAACTTGAAGCACTGTCTAATTTCTTCTTTTTTTTTTCTTTTTTTTAGGCTGGACCTCGCAGATATTGAAAGTGGAAAACTTTCCAACGAGGTCGTGGGTACTGTAGGCCTTTGCCGTTTATAATGCATTAATAACTAGAGGGACGTAGTTATTCCTGCTCACGTCTTACCTTATAACTCGTCATGGGGCTTAGTGTCGCAATTCATATTTCTGGCAGACTTAAAATCATTTTTAGGAAAGTTGTAATTTGCCGCCTTCAAAGTGCAGTTCTAGCCACGTTCAAAAGGGCACCCCGTCATCGAATTGATGTAAATAATAGCGGCGTTCCTGAAACAAGTTCAATTTATTTTGGACCGACTACCTGCTAGCATGGTCCAAAATCACATGTACTACGAATGAAGCTGGAAATATAACTGCCATAAATAGGAGCGGAGCACTCGTCAATGTCCGTGCGCCCAAAATCTCTGCTTCCAACGATAATACCGTGCAATCTTGGAAGAGACACGAACCATACTTTTTTTTACCTCCTGTTGCGTGTATTATTAGCGTCTAATGACGACAGAAAAGGATTCTAGTTATTGATAAAAAAAACAGTAGTTTGATTACAAAATTGAATGATAGGCCCAAGTTGTTGGTAGCGTAGTCGCGAAGAAACTTCAATATGGGTAATAGGAGAGTAGAGCGAGATAACTGCTTAACAAGGACTACGTAAGTTTAATAACAAAGTTAACAAGTTGGACCGAAAAACGTGTTTGCTTTACGAGTGCAGACGAAGACTCCCTCTCGGCGAGTTCTCTTCACGTAGGTGACGGAGAATCTATTAAGACGTCTGGCTTTCCAGCCGACGGTCCCCCGACGGTCAAGCACCGAGTTCTCCCCCTCCAGAATACGTGGTGCCGGGTTTCACCCCTGCGGCCGCCGTCCGCTTGCGCGGTCTGCGTCGCAGGACCGGCCGCGTCAGGAGCTTGAGTACACGGGCAGCCACAGCGGGAACCATGGCGATGTTTTTCTTTTACGTACAATTCCCGTCCAATAAAAGTGAACCTTTGGAGCACAGAGGTCGAAATACTACATTTACGCATTTGTCTGGACTGGTGATCTGTGAATCACAAAACCATATGGTCGACTTTGGAGCACTTGCGATTAATCCTCATTTTGTCATATTGCCGTGAATCATAGTATTCACGTCTGTTAGTTATTTCATGGAAAGTAGGCGTGCGCCAATTATTTTTAAATGTTTATGTAGATGCTTCAAGATAGGACCCGTCGTTGAGGCGTCTTTCCACGCGCCAAGTACCCCGAGGAAAATTTGGTTGGAGCTATTTGTATCTTTTTTATTTTTCTGGGTTTGTAATTCATCAGTTCAATTATAGCTTAAATTATTTTCTATCTTTGAGATGATCTAGTGCCTGCCTTATACTTCGCGAAGAGACAAAACGAAGTTTCGGAAGGGTGGCCTTTACAGCTTCGTGTACAAAAAAAAAAATAGCATTGACGCCCCGGGGTACCAATCTGGTTTTTGATTGAAGCATGGCAACCAGACTCTTTTTATTTTTTTTGCACGCAAAGCGTTTGGGTAAAATACTTAAAAGCTCACTAATGCACCTAATATTTTCAAGAAGGTGGCATGCCTAATGGCCCTCTTTCGTCGTACACGGGTCTGCTTAAAAACAAAGAAAAAAAAATATTTTTGGTTTGATTACTTCGTTTTATGCTTTTAAACGTGAAGAGTTAAATTCGCCCTTCTGAGTGGTCAAAGCATTTATAAATCCATCAATTTTCATCTTGCATAATGGTGCAACCCAATGAAGGAAATTTTGGCTATAAACATACATCAGCCGCGAATAGAGAGTTTTAGTACTGCGTATAGCAGCCAACGCAAGCGCTCTGAGTTTGCGTTACGGTAGCGTACTCCTTGCATTATGATGCGCGTCGTCGCCATTGTCCAGTCGAAGACCGCAGACTGGGCTCCGCGCACGCGCAGTGTGAAACGCGCAACGCTGACGCAAACGCACAGTAAAAGGGTTCGCTCGCATACGTATCTACTAAAACTCACTAGTATTAATTTTAACTATTACGCAATTTAATATATGCGCCACCATATGTTGTCGCAAGGTGCCTTCTTTTATACACTTTATTAAGTACTTCACTAGGAAAATATATTCAACTCTGTCTATTTGTATGAAACCCCTCGAGGTGTAAAAACCCCGCTTTCCGAGAGGACGCCTGTGCCTTTCACTGCCCACGAGGTTCCCTTGCGGACGGCTCAGAGGGATAGGGCTTCGATCGACGCCCTCAGATACCGGATTCGACAAGAGAACAGAAACAGCTGTCTCCGTTGTCTCAATGGGGTTTTCAGGACAATAGATGGGGCCAGTCAGCCCTCGCAGGTCAAAGGGGAAAACCCCAAGGCTGCGCGCGAATCCTATTGAATTTTCACGAATTGAGATGTATCTCGTAGTAAATCGTTCGATGCTATTATCCTTGTAAACGTAGAAAAACAACGCACACACAGACACACATGTGCAGGTTCTTGCTCCATGCCTTTCCCATTTGTGGATTTAAAAATAAAACGTTCTTATTGCATGCTACAGGTTTAGAAAAACAAAGGGGGTGGCCACAGCGCGGCTGGCGAGCCTTGTGCCAGTTCCTTTGGGGCACACTTGCGGCTCTCGGCCCCCTAATAAACCTACCCTCACTCCACCCCTCCCCCCCCCCCCCCCCCCCCTCCGGGAAAACACAAAAAGAAAGACATTGAACAAGAAAACAGTTTGCGTTTTGTGAGCGTTGTGCCCTTTCGCACATCGAACGAGGCCCGTGTTTTCCGAATAAAGAATCACCGTACTAAAGGATACTGGGTAATTTTTTTATGAACGGCTATGGCCATGAACTGAAAACACACATTTTGTTTTGAAGTGACACGCCTTCTTTGTTTGCGGTTTTTCTCTTAAATTGAAGTATTTTTGGTCCTTTCAATATGTCTGCCTGGCCTCACCTCGAGTAGTAGAACAAGCCCCTCCCACGAAGGTCTTTGCTCGTGATGATTGGCGGTTTCCTCCTCTCCACTCGCCTCATCTCCAGGGTTCGCTTTCCTGACATGGAACGAGTGGAGGGCTTTGTGGAAAAAGCCTCTTCGGCTTTGCTAACCATGCATCGAACAGTCGTACTGAAAACTTCAAATGTCGACGTTTTCTGCAGGTCTTGCCTACCTCGGGGGACTCTGCACTATCCATATGCGTGTTGCCCAATCCGAAGACACGCCTCATACGCACAGTATGGTCCCCATTTTGGTGCACGAACTCGGGCACTCGTAAGTACGAGCTTTGTAATACCCTACGTCTCGTCGACCTCTCGCAAAATGGTTTACAAGGTTAATTTATTTCCGCTTCATAGACCTTTCAGCGGCAGTCTCGAACGAAGCGATTTACAGCGAGCGTCCCTGGGTTTGAGAGTGTACGTCAGTGTTGCCCGACTGCGCGGGGCTGTGGGTTTTCTCGTCAGTGGACAGCGGCAGCCTGCCACTGCCCACTCCCAGACGCTGGTGGAGGCAAAATCGCCGCGTTTTATCTTTTCTTTCGTGTTCTATGACGAATAGAATTTTTCGAGGTTTTTAAGAACGCATTGTACTATTTTTGTGAACAAAAACAAACAAATGAAAGCTGATTTGGTGAGTCCGTTCGTGTCAGAACAAATGCAACTGGAATGTTTTCTTTTTTTTTGTTTTCTTTACGTTGATCTTTTTGCGGCACCGCACACTCAGCCGTATATATCTACAGAGATCTTAACTGTCGAAAATATTTGACCACAAATATTAGAATAATGGTATGGGCATTCCCCGCTCACAAGATGAAATTCAACGAGTCTCATAAATCGAACAACTTATATAGTACGTACCCCACGGTGCCGCGTTATTCGAACGGGATTTGAGAAAGGTCTCAAATGACAAAGCATATTCAACATACAGTGCCCACTATAGTCACTTCACGGCGAACGAACGGAGTCCGGCTTGTAATAGGCCGCGTCTTAAAGAAAGCTGCTTCTTTTGCACAGCACCAAAGCAAATGGACGACCGTCTGTAATCCGTCCCCACACCCCGGACCCGACCCTATCAGCTATTTTTCGCGAAGACTCAGAACATAGCCGGGAAGGCTTTTCGGAGATTATCTCAACGGAAATAATCCTCGAAGAATGTGGAATGACCCGCGTCGCTGGCTACCTGACGTTCGCTTTCTTGGTTCGTTTCCTGCGGAGGCAAAGCAGGCTACGGGCCCTGGTATTCACTGGTTCTCAGAATGGAAGATATACAAAAAGGGTAAGCATCCTGAATAGAGAAATAAAGTAAAAACTTCCAAGAAAAGCTGACGAACTCGAATGCACGATGCAGGTGGAGAGTCGCGCTGACCGGGTTTCACACCTCAGGCGGGTGACAGATATGTCCGCCTGATAGGGGTCGCTCGAATCGCAAAATGGCGCCGGCCAGAGAGCTCTTTTTGCAAAGGTCTATATTGTAGACTTTTTTTTTGCGTTAATGCCTCCTATACTGGCCTACAAATTCTATCGTTGGTGACATAAAAACATACATGGGGCTAATTTCGGCTCTTCATTTGCATTTTTTTTCTGTATAGTTGTCCAGAGCTTTTTTTAATGCATTATTGTATATATTTCCTACGTTAGCAATACAGTTTTATATTCTACTTAAAAAAAATAGAAAACTTTAGATCTTAAGAAACGCAGGGATGCAGGGCCGGGGCTTATTATCATAACGCTTCTTGCTTCATGAGTGGTTATTTTGCGTTTCAACTGGCCAATGCCGTCAGCTCCTTAAAACCGGAACTATAATAAATATGCCGGGACTCAGCACGCCCTATGTCCCTAACGGGGCCCTGCAATAATATTTAAGCGTCTACCTTTTTTTGCAATTTCCACGTCTCTTGGGTTTCCGGCCTGGCAGCGGGCACGTCCCGCGCCTTCCGGACCTTACGCAAAAAGTTCTCCATTATTTTTCGCTTCGTCCTTTCACTCAATCTTTCTAAGATAATCGTTGCTCCAAATAAAGTATCGCAGGGGCATGCAGTAGAATGTGCTGCGAGATTCCCTAAAGCTTGCAACTGCTCACACGCGTGTTTGTGCTCCCGTAGCCTCTCATTCAAGCACCTGCCCGTTGTAGTAGGGCAAGCTGGGACAGTCAAATCTGTGCAAGATCGAGCAGCAAGATTCATCTAGTCAAAAAACTCCTATCATACCAGTGTCACCGCACTTATATCTCAAGCTAATCTTCTTAACCTCGAATCACGGCGTAAAATTTCCAGACTCTGTCCTTTCACAAGTATAATCACTCATCACTTGACAGCTCTGTTATTGCACCAGCTCACTGCGTTTCATGTAGCATCAGTCATCAGGTCGCTGTCTACTCCCCTCCCCCTCCACCCCCCCCCCCCCTCCCATGCCCGCTGCACTGCGCATCTTTTTCTCATTTTTTTCTGCAATAAAGCCTAGGATTGAAATGCTCTGCCCACCGATACCGCGCTCCACTCCAACCCCACCCATTTTAAAGCATTCATCGAAGAAATTTTGTTTTGATGTTTAAATATTGTACTACCCTCATGTAATACTTCTTATTTGAGGCATTTGCGGTTCAATAAATAAAAATAATATAAAACTAAATGTCTACAGAAGTTGCTCAAGAACAGACCTTTGAGACAGGCTCAATATAACTGGTAATTTGTCTAATATTGTACTATACAGCTGTACCGTTCTCCCGTACCCTGCCCAAAAATCGTGAATCCTTTGAGCATGGTACACGACAAGACAAATCCTTGCGAACAGCCCTCTGTACTTCGAGGAACTGCCAAACAATAACAAACGAGCTGACAGCTTCAAGTTTGAAAGCGATCTTCGTGATGTGAACTCACACAGACCTTGTAAATCTACGCAGTAGTGCAAAACAACTACTAGATATTTAATTTTTACGGTAAAAAATGAGCGCCATTCAAATTAAACAATATATTTTTATGTAACTAACACCTACTACGCCAAATGTGGATGGACGTGGGATTTCATCAAGCCATCATTCACGAGCACGTTACTAACAAATATCTTGAACCGAATTATCTCAACAGCCTTGGCATGGTCCATGATGGGGACAAACCAAAATATAGCACTCCTGGAAACGAGCGTCAAGTATGCTCCGCAAGTGACGGCTTCATAATGGCACCTGTTGCACACGGCCCGCGGAATGGACAGTGGTCCCGCTGTTCCTTGGACCAGGTTCGTGGTTTTGTCAGGTACGTTTTCTATAGGGCTCATCGAATACGCGCCTGTTATAATAAGGGCATGATAGTATATGATGGCTTTGTTTTAAAAAGACAAAAACACTAAAAGTAAGCCTTTTCTTTTTTTTTTTGCTATATCCTGCTTTAAGAAAATAGGGCGTGTATGTTTTAGCAGTTTGTTACAGCTAGCGACGGGTTTTAGGAGAGGGGGATCCTGCAATGACTCCACATTTATTCCCTGACACCACCTCATCAAATTATACTGTCTTCCGCATCTCCTTTTATTAAGCAGTAAGGAAGCTTAACTTTCAACAATGACTTGAGGGTGTAGCTTTTGGTCTTCAGGGGAAAAATCTGTATGCATTTTGCTATAGGGTTTTGTATGCAATGTTCCCTTTCTGAGAAAGGACTTGGCCTAGGGCATTTTTATCCCATTTGTCCTCTCTGTGGACAGAAGAGGTTGAACAATAAGGTTCCAAACTAATTTTTAACACCCTTCTTCAAACTTCGCCTTGTTTCAGGACACAAATAATTATTTTTAATTAAGTCAATTTGTATGTGGCGTGGAAGAGTGCTGGACTGGCATCCCATTTACTGGAAGAAGATTAGGAAGTGTGGCTCTCGCATTTGCCATCAAGGTCCACCCGGATTTTTTTTTCAGTGAAGCAGTAATAAACTAGCACGGTTTAGTTAGTGCTCCTTCTGTAGTCGGTCCGAACATTTTATTATTTAGCCTAAGCTAGCTACTGCATCACTCCGCCCGATCAGCAAGGCAGTTTCAAGGTTAAACTCTGAGAATTATGCTAAAATCAGAGTTGTATAAAAAGTTCCGTGTTTCCAGCTTGACTTTTTTTTACGTTGAGAGGGAGAGAGGGGGGGCGTTCGGGGCTTATTTTTTCTAGGAATTAAGTGTTTTCAGTGTAAATTTGCAGCGTCGTACTAAGTATCGGTGTTCATCGGGGCTTATGATGAAGGAAACAGGACGCAAGCATGCGAGTCCCCAACCTCCAGAGAATATGCGTATCCTGGAAAGTTCCCAGTAGCGAGAAAACAAAAAAAACGAGATATCAGGGAAGGCGGGGGGGGGGGGGGGGGGGGGGACCATTCCTATTAAAAAATGCAGCCTCGCAAATAGATCAGTTGTGTTGTGTTCGCGGTCGGCGCCTGATGAACCTGGAGATATTTCATTTCTTTGGAAAGCTTTCTTTTTAATTTAAAACTATCTTAAATTCGTTTTTTTATATTCCCCCTTTTTAATAGCACAACCTCAGATGCTACCTTACTGTGCGTATTGGTATTTGCTGAAAATGTAAAACCCTAGTTATAAACAAAAAAAAAAAACCTGCGAGAAAAGGTTGAGCGTTTTCTCAACAATCAGGTCAAGTAATCGTGGTGCGCCTAGATGACGAATTAAATGCAATGTTTCTTAGTGGATACGTTATATCGAATTCATTTGCACCTTCACGTCCTTTTTTCCTTACCATTTTTATGTATCCATTTCATAAATAAATATGCTTTTTTCATTTATCGTTTTCGTTAAGTTTGAGGCTAAGTTATTAGGAAATTGGTCAGAACCCACAAAACAAAAAAGTAAATAGCTTCCAGGTGGTGTTAAGATACTCGCATATGAACCGATAAACGCCCATTATAGTTAGAGGCGTAGACATATTCACTATAAAAATAAAACTTTCGTTTCACATTAAAACAAAACGTAGGAAGAATTAAACCAAATCGAAAAACCGCGATCGCCACATCCTATTTAGAATAAAGTAACGTGGATATTAATTAAGGGGGCTGAGTGGCTTTAAAGTTTTCAATGTTTAGTCATTGATCGAGCTGAAATCTTTCTTAGTGATTTGTTTCTTTGTGAAACTTTCAAATATGCACTTAGTTTTTATATACCTGTACTAGATCCTGACTTGTCATGACATTTGTAAGCTTAATCAGGCTATTCTCAGAAGTCGATATTAAACAATTCTGCAAAATTTATTTGAAATATTACTTTATTTGCATTCATAAGAAGAGCATTGATGAGTGATGCTCTTTTAAACCAAAATTACAAAAATTATACTGTTAACATTATTTATTACCATGTTGCATAAAACAAGAAGCTATGTATTTGAAGGCCAATTAATTATAAATATGATATAGCGCCAAAATCAACAATATTAGCATCACTGCACAAAGTAGTTCTTGCTGAATTCAAATCTATCAAAATACATCTCATATTTTTTTTTTGAGAATTGTACGTCAACGACCCGTAAAGTCGACCTCATTAAAGACACGAATGTACCGATACGTAATAATTTATACGGCTATGTTAAAGCTATTCGCGTATTTGAAAATATTACTTTGAAATACATCAGTATTCTCAATTTTAGTAGTAGAGATATAAACAACATGTGAAAAAAGGTTAATGACCCTATTTTACATTAAGATCGATCTTACAAGTACACTGGACATATTGAGTGGTAGAAAGGCATTCTAACATTATCTGAAATCAGAAATTATTCTTAAAATTGAGTTGCCATTTAGAAACTCTCTTGCGGGACTTGAAAGATATTCTTTCTTTTATATGCGCGCTTCAGCTTAGTAACACATGTGCAAACTTGGCGGTCCCGGATCGTTCACACGGGACATAAGTGCAGCATTCGCCATTCCCATTCCATGGTTTACGGAAGTAATTTTACTATCTACTTGAGTATGTTTGCTATGGAGGTCACTCAATTACGTAGCTTTTTCTAATTTTACATCGGCTTTTGAAATATTAAAAAAAAAAATGTTTGTCCTTACATTTTTCTGTTGCATTGCTTCTGGGCTTTTTAAAGGAAATTTGATGTTCGGTACCTGCCTATTGCTGCTCAGCTGACGAGCTAACTATAGGCGGAAGAAATCGGACTAGATATAATCCTCACTATAAGATATAAGTACAAGTAGTCCCCGCAACAAACCTCGCTTTTTTATCGAATAAAAAAACTACGCATCGTCGAACGCACACAGACCCCTCTCAAACATAACGCTAGAGGTCCGGTTCATATGATACATTTTAGAAATATCTGTTATCTTACTCCAAAGTTTACGCGAGCTTCGTATATTTTCAATGTGAAAATTCTGGCCGACGAGGATCACGAAAGCATGTAACTTAATGGTTCACGTACCGGGAACGGGCCAATTCTTTTATTGAAAGTGTCAGAAAAGTAAGTATAAGCTTTAACTTTTGAACAAGATAAAGGTTAGCTGTAAAACGTTCGCATCTGGTTCGAACCGCTAGTGTTATGTTTGGGGGAAAACTGCGAGTTCGGCAAAGCGTAGTTTATTTTTGCTCTGAAAAAATACACTAATTTTCTTCGCGGACAAGCCGTATGCAATCCTATTAACCTTGGACCAAAAACCTAGGATAATAGAATTTGGTTCATTTTTTTATCTATAACACACAAAAGTAGGTATTAATTATGATGAGGGTTCCCATCATACATATTAGGCAAAAAAAAGAAACAAATGTACAAATAGGGTGAAAGTTGACTATATTTAAGAACACTACCACGTGGTTTCGCATAGGTCAACAACATATTGATTAGAGTTAGAAATAGCAGCACGCAATAAGAAGTTTTAAGAGGCCCCATATTAAACATACGGTTGCTACGTTTGTTAAAATTAAACGAAGATGACTGCAATTCATATATGGTTACTCTTTTTTATTATACAGCGCCTCTCGCTGACACAATGTAGGAGCAGTCAGCGGCTGTTTGCGTTTGTAGCGCAACCCCCTTTAGGTGACTACTACAAAGAATGAATTTCAAGCATAATATTTTTTTTAATCATCGCGAAACACACGGAATTTTATCAGTCCTTCAGGATGTGAAGTGTTTTTCTCAAATATGTTAAAAAAAGAAAACAGCGAAAAGGGAAGACATCTTATTTATTCCGCCTAGAAAAGGGCGCACGTGCCATGACACTACGCATTTATTTAGTATAAACAGTGAGAACACTGCCAGTGGTGGAAAGTTTTAATGCGATATCACTCTTTAGCTACTTCACCCGGTATTCGCAATGCGGTATCTGGCCTCGAATGCACCACGCGTATTCGGGGCGGCAGTACGCAATCCTTCAGATTTGCACCTAACATATTGAGGTATTTAACGCACAAGGTAGAGAGAAGAAGGACAGGGCAGAAAAGAGCGCTACTCACAACTACATTAACTGACACGAAAGGAAGATAAAGAAAAAAATCATCCTATCATCCGCGGACTCAAGCATCTACCACCAGCTCCTTGTATGATAGTGGCTCGTTCATCCAGGCTTGTGTGGGCCCTTCATTGTTCGTTCAAGGAATTCCCTTTCCTTGTTTGACAGTGTTACGGATTCTGCGCTAATACCAGTCCTCTCCTCAGAGAGGATCTAGAAGGCCTCTAATACCTCGCAGGTCAGTTTGTCTTTGTTCTTCTCCAAGACGTTGTTCTCGCCGAATAATCCTGCTCACGGAGTCGGATAGTGAGGCACCTGCTTGTTTGGCCTATGTAGCTCTTGCCACACAAAAAGAGGAATCTTAGATACGACTCCCGAAGCGCATAGACGGAATTAGTTTGCATGCTTCTTGGTGCACTTGTGTTTTGTGGCACCCTCAGCTTGCGCATTCACTCTAGGGCAAATTTGGCTAATTCTTTGTGGCGCTGAAAAAACTACTCTGTCCCCATAGCGGCTTGCGTAGTTTTTTTTTTTAAATATGGAGCATCCTGTGCTAGTAAGGTATTACTATTGGTCTTGTTTACTCGACACTTGTCTTGTTTGATTGGAAGCCTTTTGCCTTCTTCACCAGAGCGTTTGCCAGATCATCCAGTAAGGCTGACAAATAGCCGGCCCTTCTTAGCCTCTCTATTAGCAAACTGAACCTGGCTGACATAGTATGAACACAGGATTTCTTAAGTGCCAAGCCCAGATACGTTAGAGCTATGTCCCTCTTGATGACCTTTGAGTGCGCCGAGCTGTAGTCTAGAATGCCTTTCTTAGGTTGTGAGCTGTACGACCAACAAAGATGGGTGTCACCCAGGTAGGTGGAGCTAAATATGCAGGAACTGGATCTTTCGCTCCAGTATTAGAAATTTCTTCCGGGTTTTCAACTCCGAGGAGATAGTGGAATACCTCCGGTTAGGGGATACTGAGAAGAGAACTGCATTCAGTATTTATGTGAAGAATCTTTTTTGCTCCTGGGTGACCCCATCCAACCTGGGTGACACCCATCTTTGTTGGTCGTACAGCTCACAAACAAAGAAAGGCATTCTAGACTACAGCTCGGTCCACTCAAAAGTCATCAAGATGTGCATAGCTCTAAAGTGTCTGGGCTCGAGACTAAAGAAGTCCTGTCTTCATACTACCTCAGCCAACTTCAGTATGCAAGCAGAGAGGTTAAGAAAAGCCAACTATTCGTCAGCCCCACTGGCTGATCTGGCAAACGCTCTGGTGAAGAAGGCAAAAGGCTTCCAATCCAACAAGACCAGTGTCGAGTAAGCAAGGCCAATAGTAGTACCGTACCAGCAGAAAATGTCCCATAATTTGAAAAAAAAAAAAAACACCGTCGCCAACCTCTATGGGTTCAGAGTAGGTTTTTTCAGCACCACAAAGAAAATAGCCAAATTTGCCCTAGAGTGAATGCGCATGTTGAGGTTACCACAAAACAGAAGTGCACCAAGAAGCATGGAAGCAATTTCCGTCCATGCGCTTCGGAAGTAGTATATAAGATTCCTCTTTCGTGTGGCAAGAGCTACATAGACCAAACGGGCAGGTGGTTCAATGACCGACTCCGGGAACATGATTACTCCCTGAAGGCCTATACTGGGCGGAAATCTTCCACTCCATTGCAGGGAGTGCATGTGCAGACCATTATTCGGCGAGACCAATATCTTGGGGAAGAACAAAGACAAATTAACCCGCGAGGCATTGGAGGCCTTCTACATCCTCCGTGAGGACAGGAATTGTATTAGTGCAGAATCCATAGCCCTCTCAAACAAGGAAAGGGAATTTCTTCAACAAACAATGAAGGGCCCACACGAACCTGGATGGACGAGCAACCATCATTCACGGGGCTGGTGGTAGATGCACGAGTCCGCGGATGATTATTTGTTTTTTTCTTTCTCTTCCTTTCTTGTCAGTAAACGAAGTAGAGAGTAGCGCTCTTTTCTGTCCTGTCCTTCTTTTCTCTACCTTGTGCGCTAAATACCTCAGTATGTTAGACTACCAACTAGCCCAAATTTCAACTTCACTGCACATTTGCACCCTGTTCTAAGCACCTCACATCCTTGACGTCGTCCTCGGCGTCGTTCTAGAGGTCGTCCTACACGTAGTCGTTGACGTCGTCCTCTAAGGCGTCGTCCTGGACGTTGTCCTAGCAAAAAGATAAACCCGCGCCACGCATACACGGAGCGCCAGTGCGTACACATTCACATTTCTGCCCAAGCTACGAAGCAATTATCGGTTTGGGTGGAGCTAGTTGGTAGATGGTCAATGATCGTGGCAAAACAGTGTGAACATTGAACGATCACGCCGATAGCGGACGAGAACACACACGAACCTGCAATGATGGTAGGGAAAGAGCTTGTACATCAAACGATTATGCATAGACAGAATACTATACGAATACACAGAGACGAAGCAATCACTCAATCTCGAAGTGGCGCGCTAAAGTTGTGCTTACCTGAAGGATATCGTTGTAAGCCATTCATAAAAAAAAAAAAAAATTGCTTAACCAATATTTGCGTATTCAATTATTTGCAGCGAGACACTTCGTGAGCCTCACGAAGACTGCTGTCGCAATTCATAGACAAACAACAATGATGTTTCCTGCAGCCCATATATTACAAGATCACCCTTTGGAAACAAAAAAATATCGTTTTAAGCAGTTGCAAAGAAAAAAAATGCTATCATTGCACACTCTTCGCCATCATTGATCAGCTATCAGGGGTTGTGCATCAAGCACGAAGAGTGACTGAGTGTTTGGCACCTGTTCGCGTGTGCAACTCGCGACACCAGATAGACCACTTCACCTGGCAAATGGCACCACAGGTACGCAAGGCAACCGGGCCGCCTTGTCTATTTCGTTTTGCTCGGCACTATGCACAAAATTAGACGATTTGTTTTATAACACATTTTAGTTAAAAATACTTTACTGGAAAAACACGGCGAAGATACTTAGGACTGCTTAGATGTAAGACTGCGAAAACATTCCTACACACAGCGCATTCCTACAAGCAGCGAATCACGTCATCATTTTGCAAACGGCACTCCAGCGGTGACCTTACACTCCTCCACTTCTCAGTCGCTGGGCCCCCTCCGGCTTTACGGCTTCCCAGACGGAGCATCTGCACTGCTGTGCTTTTCTTTGTGTTTTATTTCTAAGGAGCGTCCGCTTTGACCTTGAGCACCCCGTCGGCTTCCGTGACAAAGCATCTGCAAAGCACCATCTTTCGGGCGCAACGCCGACGCCGCCTTTTCGCGTAATAGGACAAGTAAGGTTTTGGGCTTAATAAACATAGTAAACAATTCTAACAAAATGAAAACGAACCTGAAGTTGTTGCAGCTTAACGATGGAAACAAATATAGGTTTATCTTAATGTTAACCATCAAAATTCATTATGATTGTTGCACCACCTTATGCGACACAGGATTTGATTCCAGTCTGCGAAGGCTGTAGACACAGATCGCTAAAAATACAGCAAAACATCTGCTCCCCCTTCTTTGCTTTTGTGATTTGTTTTTTGGCGTTTATATCGGGCTAAAGGCGCAACCTGATCACCTGCAGAGCCATTATAAGATGTTCGGAACGCAAAATCCTTCCTGCCTTTCCTAAACTGACAGTGATGATGTTGATCATGCAACCGTTCTTGGAAAAGGTCTGACCCAGGCCGAAGCGTCCCCACACCAAATGTCATGAAAAAACACGTAACCTTTCGAAGCCCGTCTTTTCTATACACAACTCTGTTTTTATGGCATGAAAACGAAAACGAAGCTGCCTATTACGTCAAGCAGTGACAAACAAACCAATTAAGCGCTCGAGTATATTTGGCACCTGCTACGTTTCGGGAACAAAAACAAAAAAAAAAGTTTCGTGTTGGGTCAGACTTGCTAAAAATATGAGACCAAGCGCGGAGAAGAAATTATTTGCTTACTGTGGAGCATTTAAAGTATAGTTAGCCTTCGGTTATGTCTCCATCAAACGACCTAATTTCTCTTGTCCACTGTATACTTTACTTAATAATGTAAACACGACAACACGAATTACAATATATACGCGGTGGATATTTTCTAATTGCATAGTTTAGTCAAACTATAAAATACCAATTTCAAACAATAGTGAGCAGACAAGCAAAAATAAAAATAAAAATTTAGAAGGATCTCTAAGCGGCACCGGAATAAAAGTGCATTTGCCGGAATAATCATATTTCTTTTTATTTCTGGATAGGCTTGGTTTATAAGTTTGTGTTGGACATACCGGTATTGGTAACTGCATAAAATTTAAAGACGTGGGTTTGATTATATCAGCAAATGCGTACCGGATAGGCCCCAAAAATTGTTTTACGCAGTGCATAAGGAAGTTCCTTGTCTCAGAAACATTAAGCTTTACTAAAAGCTAGCTCTAGGAATGAAGCCGTGACGTTGAAGGTTTTGTTTGAATAAGACCTAATTAAAATGATATTTTATAAATATTTTCAACCACGCTGAAGTGTCTTGCGTTGTGGTGGACATAGCCCTGCTATTTAAGGGCTAGTCTCAAAGTGATTCAAGGCACAAGCTTCCAGGTTTGCGCGATATCGTTTCCGGGTGGAGAGATTTGTCATGTTGCGCAAGCAAACGACAGCTAGTACAGTAGCTGGTTAGTGTTGTGCGGTAGCCGACTCAGTATACTAGAAACGGTGGATGTTGTCCTTTATACACACACATTAAGAAAATCGAGTGGAGCGTTTAAGAAACCCTGGTAAACGGATATGTTAAATATGTTAAACGAATATGATAAAGGTACATGTTGAGTTCAAGTGTAGAGAATACGCTGCAGTTTAATCGTGATATTAGTGATTATGGACAATACTGATTTTATCTCTTTTTTAGGACTCTAAAACAAGCCTGCTTCGATCTACTCTCATCAAGGCACTACTCGATAAACATGACGGTACTTCCGGGAGAAGGAATGACAAAGCTACAATTGTGTGAAAGAACCTACCCAGGCTTCACGGGAATCCGCGTCCACCCCGTAAGGCCTAAATCTGTCGTCACAATGCTCAGCTGCGCAGAACACATTTTGTTAGGATTCGGCACCGGCGAAACAACCGAGAGTGCACGGGAATGCCGGAGGACGATTGTGTGCACGGATTCGACGAACACCCTGTCTAACGTATATGTGTTTCATGAATGGTTGATTCTACATCATCTCATGCAACTGGACGGAAGCTGTACCATCTCTGAAAGAGACAAATTTTCGTTTACAACGATCTTCTACGGGAAGCCGCGGACCGAATGCTCGTAAAATCTAAAATTGTTTCCTTCTATATCTGGGTAGTTGCATTACTTTGACAAGGTTCTTACAAAACACACTATAAGCCCAATGACCTGGGACCTATTATTTGGCTAAAAATTCGCTTCGAATGCCAGATTTATATGTTCACAAAAATGGGAGTCGTGATATTCCAGCACAATGCAGCATATTTTTTTTTTATATTGCGCGTAGCTCAGTACCTGTATTTTTTGCTTTAGATCGGTGCGCTGCAAAATCCTTAAAGACAACCAAAAACACACACATCGACTAAAAGCGCAAAGTCAGGGCGCATTTTCTTCCTACATTAAATAACCCGAATAATGACGACGAACGCTGTGACCTCAGGCTGTTGACGCTGCTTGACTGGTTCTTCGGCTTAGAAAGTCGGTTGCGCTCTGGCGTAAATCAGGAACCAAGCACAGGAACTCGAATAATCACTACAAGGTGGTCCATATACGCGAGCAAGGATTCTGGAAACAACTTTAAAAGGAAAGCTAAAATTAAGGCTTGTTAAGTGTTTTTCTTAAGCCAAACTGCTTTTTTTTTTATTCTTCGCTCAACTTAAGCACTAGCGTATGTGTGTGTCCTCTTGTTTTGTTTTGTAATATTTTTCCTGTCAAGGGTAAATTATGGACACCTTTCCTTAAGTTTAGTCTATCTGACTGTCCTGATGCATAGACGTTCTCAGTAGAAACGCCGTTCCTGGGTTCAGCAGAAGAGAACAAAACATTTCTCTAGCAAATTAAGCCTATCTCTTTCACAGTACTGGGGTCATGTTATATTCTTCAAATAAATAAGGCTACCTTTGTGCAGAGTTGGGATTGATCGCTGATTCAGAGTTTTTACAACGTGTCATAAACGGAGGGTTCTGGGAGCTTTCATGTGACTCTGTCTTAGTGTGGGAACAGGTGCGATTGCAAGCTTACCAACGTTATCCAAAAGTACCGCATATGCTTGCACGCCAACAACGCCAGAAAGATGTCAATCTTGCAGTTGCGTATACCACTAAGCGCCTAAGCGTTTGCAAAAGTGATTGTCTTAAAAACAACATTTTACATGGCTTAAAACTTAGCTTTTGAAAATCTACAGAAAGTGTGGGATGACTTCAAAACAGTATGCAAGCCTCGGGGGTCGGTACCAAACTGGGCACTGCGGGATACGTCGACCAGGTCTCAACCGGTGTATACTATTTAAAAAGATCAACCTCAGCGTTTTTGTAAAAAAACGACGATTTTGCATCAATTAATTTTGAGATTACTTCTCGTTGAGTCGCGAAAGCTGCCGAGTTAAAGCACAAGACCGCACGTTCGTAATGCTGTCAAAATTATATATAATCTTTTTTGTTGACAGGATTTTGAAAACTCCCGAGACTGTGTGATATGGTGCTGCTTTAGAGATTACAAAAAATGCCTACAAGCTGCTCTTACGGATGGAATGCAATGTATATACGGATATGTAAGGACTGTTTGTTGCTAACTTTTATAGTGGATTATTCCAACCAAATGCACTTTATTTAAAACATATCAGTTCATTACGCCTTGATAGTTCCAATGTGCATGAAACCATCATACAGGGAGCTCCCAAGAAGAGTGAGCCGCGTTATCCGGCAAGAGTAAAAAAAACAAAAAAACAGCTATGCATCGCAGAAAGCTCCAACTCCGTTAGAATGTGACGCTAGCGCTTGGAATAAAACTTGGCAGTTTGACAAGATGACCTTACCTGAATTAAACGACAATTCGGAACGACGAAATTCCTCTACGAACGGATGTCCACCTAAGCCTAATATTGTGAACTACAAGAAATGACCTTGCGGGTGTCTGTAGCTCAAATTTCAGTGAAAAAATTTTGTCACGAAGAAAGAAAACATATATCCTCTTTCTTGCTGGGAAGTGTTTTCCACTGATATAATTTCTAAAAACGTGCACAACGTCGACGTCTATTTTGAAGATATGAAGCTCAGGAGGACATCGGCTCGTAGAGAAATTTTATTTCTCGCAAATATTTTCTTATTCAAGTAACGTCATGTTGTGAATCTTCGGGTTCTAACCTAACCGCTATATTCACATTTCCACGGAGTGTGAGCTCTCTGCGATGCGTAGCTTTTACCCGGGCCGAAAAACACCTGATATTGCTTCTCGAAAGCGATTATTATTCTTGTTCTACAACAAAAGTCAGCTTTTAAACAAACAAAAAAAAAATATGGAAGCTTACAAGGGCGCAGTTAAGGTGGTATTGACTTCGGTGAAAGGAAATCACTTAGCCACGTAATAACATCTCTTTAAGCATCTCTTTGTCTAGTATGTGTCTTCGTTATCACTAACGTTTCTTAAACTATTAGCAACATATTGTGAATAATATTTGCTATTTCCGAGGAAAGAAATACGTTTAGCAGAATATTGTTGTTCAATCAAAAACGAAATGAGTAAGCTTCATTTTGTAGATCAAAGAGACAGTCTACGGTGACATCAACAGCTAGCATTGAGGAGCAAGACTGTAAAATTTGGGCACTTTACTCTTTCTGCACATCCATAAAAACTGAATTGCCACCGAAGTTTGCAATTCAACTAGGATATGTTTATTTTCAAGTAAAAACCTAGTGACAGATGCCCGGTGACGTTGGTTTATTCCGAGGCTTTGGACCTCAAATATGTAGAACTCTGACGGTGAGTTACGTAAAGAGAGAGGTTAATAGTTTCGTGGCTTTTTTAAGCAATCAAATGTTCCATTTTGGTTTTTTGTTTATTAGGCGCTACTCTAAAAGTCCATGTAGGTAACTTATTAGTCCAATATTACACAAAACAACTTAGTGTTTTTAAACAAAATTATTGTGAACTTTTGCTTACAAAAGATAGACATATAGACAAACTCAAAGCGCTAACGTCACGCACTGCGGTGGCGCTGCTGTCGGTACTGCGCTTCCGCAAACGCTTCGCTCCTCCCGAATTTCGTTTCTGCGCACGCGCAGTGCCCACACCTGGTGTGGGCAAAGCGGGCTTGTTTCTAAACACTGGGTTGGTGTATCGAGAGGTCAGCGCGTCAGCCGCCTTACTTCTTTCATTACGATGCTGAACTAGCCGAGTTGCTTCAGCGAATTACGCAATCTAAGTAATCAGATGCGTCTAGGTTTTCCCACAGTGTATAGAAGGGCTAAACCCTGTAATCTACGGAGGGAGTTTGACAAATGATGAGGCTCACACAATCTTTAGACCTACAAAATACAGCCTTATTCGTGACATTTAACATGAGCTTGCATCATGCTCGGTGTTCCAGATGAGATCGTTATTTCGGGTCCAAACATATTTTCATCGTCGCCGTTCGCGCAACTCTTAGTATAAAGCGGCGAGTGACTCTCCCAAGCGCCCTACTGAAAACTAAGTTCACTGGATATTTCGGAGTGTACAAACAGTAAAAAAACGCAGGTGACGGCCAGCATAAATGAGTGTCACATCATCTACACTTATCGACACTAACGCTGCTTGTTACATTATGACCATCGCTTTGTCATAACTGGATCAGGCAGTGTAGGCTTCTTGCACCTGGTAACTTTCGGATAGTCTCGAAATAGAAACCAACATTGTCGTCTGCCAACTGTGCCTTGGCGCCATGTTGGATGGAATGAACGTCTTATTGCAGCACCAGTTGTGTCGTAAGGCCCTGGCGTTTGCCCCGCTCACGTTGAAGCTAAAACAAACTCGTTTCATGCAGGCGATGGAACACAATTAGGAATAAGCGTTCCTTGAGTATAAATTCCTCGGACGGCACTCGAAAGCGCGCGTGGAGTGCCATCGCTCGGCACTTGAACGCCTCGCAAGAATGGCGTGGGACAGCAAAAAATGCATCATCTGCTAATCATTTCCGTTGAATGACCGGAGAATTAGTGCCACTATCTATCCGTGAACTTAATAGAAGATATCGTCCATAAACTTTCAATACTTTAGCCGAACCTCCAACTTTTTGACTAGCTACACAGATGAAGACAGGAAGTGCCACAGAAGTAATTTGGTCTGCTTTACTTTTCCTAGTCAATCGCAAAACAGTTCCTTGCGGTTCGCCTAACACGAAGTACAGTCCACAAACTCTTAGTTGGTAACCCTATTGAAAAATCTCATTTGTATGAGAAATTTGTGGGTCCGAAAAACCCACGTGTATCATACGTGATATATAAGAACCATATAAGAAACATGTAAGAGATTTTTTATAAGTTTCTTATATGGTTCTTATGTTCCTATATAGTTCTTATGTAGTCGTTTATCCTTTCATATATCTTGTATGATTCATAAGTGTTTATTGGACACAGGGGATTTTTCATACAAATGGCTGTTTCACTAGAGACGAAGCTTTTTAGTCCAGATATTGCCGACGTATTCGTCCGAGCAATTCATATCGCCGGCGAACTACCGATTGCTCGAGTGTCGCTATGTACTAATTTTAATGATTGCCGGTATATAATAAAACAAAAAAATATACTGCTGGCAGTAGCTACAGTTTGTCACGGATCACGCATAACATTGCATAACAGCTTCAAATGCCTCCAACATGGATTCCGCGGGTTCCGGTGAGCTTTAGGAACCGGTAGAAGAGTTTCGTCATGGTCTCGTGCAAAAACTTTATAATCGAAACAAAAAAGGTCCACTCAAAATATAGTTTCTTTAGTTTTTGTAGAATATAGCAAGCAACGCTTTGGATGCCAGCAACTCTCACCGGCCAAACACCCCTTTTTATAAGTAGCTTATGATACATTGTATCCCCACGGAATTCAAGAAAGCAGAAGTACCTCTTCAATGCTGGGCGGCTTTTGGTCGATTTTATTGCGCGTATATTTTCGCGGTAAGTTTTCGCAGTTATCAAAAATTGAATATATGATTGAAAAAAAAAAACATACCTAAGAATTTTTTAATGAAACATTTACTTGGCAAATGCGCTAGCACGCCATCGAGTGCGCTAAATAAAAGTATGACCCATTGAGGACGTAATTTTTTAGGTTTTAATATAGAGTGATTTATTACAAGCTTCAGCTTTTTTATACTTTTTGTCAAGCAGTGGCGGGAGGACACCTTACAGAGGTTCGTGGTGCTAAAGGCCGAACTGGTTGACTTACATTTGTACAAGACCAGGAAACATTTACAAAAAGGAGAACACCAGTCTTCAGCAGTACATACGCAGAATGCCCGATAAATAGTCCCCAAAACTAGCAGTATGGGCACACGCCAAACTGACATAAACAGAATTTGAAAATACATTTTCCAATAGACACAAAATATGCCTATATAAATGCACAAAGTACACAAAATATATGCGAGTGGGCACATCTACAGTGTGCTTTATAAAAGATTCACCGTACACAAACTTGAAACGAAGCCTAAAACATTCACTAAAAGCACTTAGAAATAAAATAACTATCGCTTAGCGTGAAAACAAACAAGGCTTTAAAGATTTTTCAAGGCAAAAAAAAAAAAAAATGAAGGCGTAAATTCATTGCAGGCTTTTAATTAATAATTATAAACTAAAGGGTGAAGTGTTTTAGGGCCGGCTTCTATAAGATGAACATAAAATTACAAAACAGAGTCACCAGCAACCGTCTCATGACCGCTAAATTCAGTGGTCTTACATATATATAAATTAATTAAACCTCGTTATTATTTGCTACCACTTAATTCATACTTATAAATAGATAGCATATATCCCTACTCTTTCGGCTGCCACCTATATTCATTTCGACTTCAATCGTATAATTAAGATACATCTGTTTTTTTTTTCTCTGACCGGTGTGGCGGCTGAATAAGCAGGGGAACAACATGTAGCGCGGGATCAGAATTCTGATTAAACCAACTGAAAGGCAGCGTGTGTCCGTGGTGCTTTTGCCTTGTTTTCGTACACGTCTTTCCGCACGTCCCAACACTGGCCAGGTTGTGCGGGCCACACCAAGACCACCTAAGCAACGAAGCCGTAGTTCTGGATCTTTTATGTCCCCGTAAGGGGACGGCGGGGGCACATCTTTAACGGGAGTGCTGCTGAGTCGGTAGCGACTCGTGTCCAGTCTTTCAAAACACGAGTTCCAGTCAAACTCTGACGCGACGCTCGTGTCCATTCTGTGTCACGTGCTGGCCTTTGGCACGTGAAGGGCACTACGGGCTTGTTAGCTATACTCCTTCTCACAGTGCAGTGACCGCTTTACTGGCTTATCGGGATGCAAACGCTACGGTAACAGTGTCTGTTGTCCAGCAAGAGGATGAGGGACACTAAGATGGAGCGCAGACGGCGCTACGTAACAAACGAGCCACTCAAGCAGCGAGCGCCGAAAAGAGCATCACCTGCTAAAACCAATCACTCGCTGAAAAAGAGTGCCAGATCTCGGCGCCTTCACTACGCATGATTAGTTCAGCCGGTGATATCAAACTCATTAGCACGACGATTGCCGTAAGGATGTACTTTCGAGGTTGCTCGATCGGATCGGGCCGTCAGCTGTGTTTGGACCTGACACACCAACTTAAAATGTGCTGCGCTGTTTCGTTTCTTTTTTATTCTTTATTTCCGTATCTACTTCACCATCTAAATTGGAGTAGGGGGACTACAAAAAATCTGCGCGTGAAGAAAGGCGTCATTTGAAGTTATACTGACCGTGCGCGATGGAAACGAACTTCAATCACGCGTGGTCTCAGCAAAAAAAGAGTGCCGCAGCACGTCACCCCTAAAAGGATTTTCTCTTATTGTTAAGGTATGTTCATTTCTACTGTATAAGCAGAAAAATATTTTCATATAAATATTTTTACTACGCCAGTAGTAAAAAATATATTGAAATACATGCAATAAAAAAATATTGTGAACTTATTTCAGACGGAGGGGCTTTTCCACGATCACCTAACAATGACCAACTTAATTTTGGCTCGTGCTTGCACTCCGTCATACTAAGTCGCCAGTCAAAATTTTCTAAGAAAACGAAAACGTTACAGCTATATTTTGCATTTTTTTTCAAGTTCTTGAATAGAAAATGCGGTACAAGGGTCCCAGACAACGCATGCATATTCATAGAACACAAAAGTCGAAATAAATTGTTTCTTTGAGCGACTGGGTTAGAAGTTAAAAGCTAAGCATACGCGAGGCCTTCGGGGAATTGTAGTCAACATGTTCCTTCCACCGCAGATCGGAAGTGAAGTGCACACCCATATATTTAATTTTATTAACAGTTTCTAGTACTTTTTCGTTTAGTGAATAACTAAATTCTGGAGGCAGTACATTCCTTCTGAAGATGACTTGTACAGTTTTTTTTTAATGTTCAGAGTCATTTGTTATGACTGGCACCATGATTAAGTGTTGTCCATGTGTTTTTGCAAAATCAGGCTATCATGTGTGTTACTGACCTCTCTATGCATTACTCACTCATCTGCAAACATTGTAATGGCAGAACGAGCATCAACAACAATATCAGGCACACCTGAAATGACGTACCATTTGAGATTGGAAGATATTTAAAACCACTAATTGCTCTCTGAACGAAAAATTTACACGAACCATTTTTTTGGAAGTAAATGGAGAAATGTGAAAGAGTATCCCTACTTCTGATCTTAAGTTCAGACGCCGCCGATGCTGCGACTTGATATCACCAATCGGAGAACATCAAAATGGCAAAATCATGGTGTTTGTTGCTTCTGTACGTGTCGTATCATCGCTGAATTAATCGTGAACATGAAATGCCAAGTGACTGCATTTTTGACCCCGCTAAATTGGTCCTATCATCTCGTCGTGTTGGCTGCGTCTTAATTTAGGCTAAAAAATGTATGGGGCTGTCGCGAACGTTTGTCTAACCCAACGTTCGACGCCGAACCCCGAGGTTTAGCTCGCTGGCAAATTCAGGACATTTTACCGAAATTCGACAAAGTTCAACTTGAGAGCAATGTTGTCCGACCTGTATACGACATTTTATATTTTTTGGCCAAGAAGCTTTAAAAAATGTTAAAATCTATAAAATGATTACTAGTGTTTACACAATTAAAAAAAAAATATGTGATTTAGTTATGCGAAACAATAAAAAAATGGAAGCCGTTTACAACTCGCTGTAGCGCCGGATTAGAGCGCAGCTCATGAGGAGGAGGAGGGGAAGGGTTCTGAGGGGAAGGTATATTCTTCCTCCCTTCTCACCTCCTCATCCTGTCTGCTACTCCTCCCTCCGAGCGGCGTCGCCGTCTTCTCACGAGGGTCACATGACCTCACGGGGGTCACGTGACCCCTATGAAGTCACGTGACGAGGACGAATACGTCATCAGTGACGTCACTGATGACGTCATCAGTGCCGATACCGATGCCGATGACGTCATTAATGACGTCACTGATGACGTCGTCAGGGACGATGACAATGTAGATGCCGATGACGTCACCAGTGACGTCAATGATGACGTCATCAGTGACGATGGCAATGACGATGCCGATGACGTCACTGATGACGTTATCAGTGACGTCACGCGTCCCATAATGCGCCGCTCGGTTACGCCGACGCCGACGGCAACGCCGACGCCGCTCAAGCCGGAAACCGGCGCCTAAGAGCTGCGCTCTAAAACAATATACCCGGAAATTATTGCACCCCTCCTCAGCCAGGTTGCTTCTACTCGTTTTCAATATCCGAGCATGCACATAATAGTTGGACAACACTCAAAATTTCATTAAACTTTGAAATAGACAATAAAAACTTGAACGCTAGCAGGTTCGCGACATCCGTGATTATAACTTTGAAGGATACCTATAATTCAGCACAGAGCTTGCTCTCTTCTGTCGTAGTTTGGTTGTGGTCCTTCAAGCCTTTGGAATACCGCGGAAGATGACGGTCAATGTTGGGACGGCCTCGATTCGCGACACCGTCGTAGTTAAGGACCGGTGTTGGGACGACTCCAATTCAGGACATGCCCGAATGGCCGATTGGTGTTTGAACGGCATCCTGCGGGATACCTCCGAATTTACTGATCGATGGTGTTTAGTGGTTGTTGGGGACAAACCAGTTCGGTACACCGAGCAATTCATCATGTAGTTCAGGTTTACGAGGATGCCACAGGCAGGACCGGCTCGTTTGGGCCGCTGTGGTATGTCCTCTCCTCGTGCCTTTCCTGTCATGCCGCTCGTCGTTTTCGCCACCTTCCAGATCATGTTTGCCAGTAACAAAAGGTAACGTTTTTGCAACGATTCCATATCACTCCTCTGGAGTCAGTCTTAAGCCTAAGTAAATTAGCGCCTCTGGGTGGGGTTTTACAGGAGCGATCATCCATGCAGGCAATCGTGAATCAAGTTTATAAGTTGTTTTAGTTACGATTTTAAAATATATTTTTTTTTATGTTGCAGCACTGCGTGAAGCACCGATGCATTAGGAAGTCTAAGCACTATCCATCTAGTGGCCAGCGCCGCCGATAGGTCATGCAACACGACCATCTGCAACAAGCACGACACGGAGGGTTGCCATCACTTCAAGACGGAGCAGACCGAATTAATGGCACATAAAAACATTACGTTTTTGTTAGAACAATTAAAATTTGGAACACGATCCTTGGAAGTGTGGTAAATTGTGATTCATTAGCCTCAGTCGGAAATTTTCTACTTGAACTGCATGAGAATCTAATTTCTGCTTACGAGTGTGTAAAAAAGCGCCTAATGTTTTTAAAACGATATACATTATTTGCTTGTGTAGCGTGATGTCAAACGGCGTAGTTTTGCCTTTTTGCATAAAATGCATAGGGTGTTAAGAAATGAAATCATATTGCACGATACGATGTGTATTGGATTTGACGTTCCACCCCTGTAAAAGTGCCCGAAAGGGTGCGCGACACCGGTTATAACGAAGTCGGTTCTAACAAAATAGAGGCTACAGCGAGGCGATTACGATTTTTTATTCCCGTTCGCACTTTTTCAAAGCATTTCTGCCTGTTTTTAGTGAAAGAGTTTGAGCAGCTCCCGCAGATATAGCGAAGAGAAATTTTGTGATAATTTAAACAAATAATGATAAAATTCGGTAAGTTTATTAAGTATCGGACCGCTGCACTTTGCTGACGCGGCCAATAAGCCACCAGAACAGGCTGCAGGAAATGCTGGAAAGGCAACCGGCGGCAGTCTCAGCAACGTCCCCTGCTCCCCGCTCCTTATCTAGGAAGCTGCTTTACCGCATCGCAAGTGGAGAAGCCGTCGTGCCGGAACCAATAGGGGCGTCCGAGCGCTAGCGACATCGTTCCGGCGGAGATGACGGAGAGAGCCTAGATATTAGAGTGGGAGCAGTGAATATGCCTGCATTTGATTGTCGCGTGGCCAGCGTGGCGAGGAAACTGAGCTCTTTAGGAACGCTCGTAGACTTAAAGATTCTGGCTTGTCACTATGTGACGACCATTCGCAGGATGTACAGTCTCCGGCAATATGAAAGACCCACTGGGAGCGCGTGGCCGAGGCGGTGGATGGCGGGGGCGCTGCCAGCGCTCCGGGCAATTCCACTCTGCTTCGAGGGAAGGACGCTCACTCGAGGCTCAGCACAATCTGATAAGCGCGTTTCGCTTTCGCTGAGCCCGAGGGAGCGTCCTTCCCTCGAAGCAGAATGGAAATGCCCGGAGCGCTGGCAGCGCTCCCGCCAGCCACCACCTCGGCCGCGCGCTCCCAGTAGGTTTTTCATATTTCCGGAGACTGTACGTATTAAGCGTAAGCACTTATGGGACCATGCGAAAGCAGAAAGGGAGCAAGGCGACCACTCGGTTAAACTATTACGCGATAAACTATACATAGATGGCAAGTCATATACATGGGACTCAGAACTTCAGGAAGTGGTACAAGCTAAACGATCATAATGTACCCCCAAATCAAGGACAGTTTGTGAAACTGTAGTACTTGTTGTAAATTGCCGGAGTGTTAAGAATAAAGTGGGCGAGTTGGCTGGCCTAATCAGTTCAATATGTGCTGATGTCGTCATCGGAACGGAGTCTTGGCTCGACGCAACGATAATGGACAATGAAGTATTTCCTCGTTCTTTCAATGTGTACCGTTGTGATAGAACGACGCACGGTGGCGGAGTCTTTATCCCAGTGGGGGATTCATTAAATAGCTGTGAACTTCGTGTTGATAGCAACTCAACCGAATCTGTTTGGTGCCTTGTCATACAGTCTGATGGTTCCAGATTTGTGGTTGGCTCCTTTTATCGTCCACCAGCTTCTGATTTAAGTGTTATGCGGCAGCTGCGCAAGATTGTTTGTTCTTTTTCTGCCGAGTGTATTTTTCTTGGAGGTGATTTTAATTTACCGGATGCCACATGAAGTGACGGTATATGTGTTTTAGGCTCGAATAGCGGTTTATACTGTGAGATGAAAACTATGTCAGGTACACTTCGGTTTTCTCAATATGTCACCCAGCCGGCACGCGGCCCTAACCTTCTTGATATATTGTTATGCAACACCCCCGATGTTGTGTCGAATCTTTGCGTCATACCTGGTATCAGTGATCATCATGCCGTCGTTGCCAATTTGGCCACAACTACTAATCGAGTAAAAATTAACGAGTCTAGGAAAGTTTTCTTTTTTAACAAAGGGAATTATGCGAAGATCTCAATGAATCTTGAGAACAGTTTCTTGTCGTTTTAATGTATTGCAGACGACATAAGCGTTAATAATTTGTGGCTAACGTTTAAGGAAAGAATTCTTACTCTCATGAACGCTCACGTACATAGTAAGTTAAGCAGTAAACTGAAAAGGATGGAGAAACCATGGATTACTGGTGAGCTAATTTGCATGATACGCAGACTCCAGAGAACCTTTACAAGGTACTGCAAAAATAAATCTGAGGATAACTTTTGTAAACTGCGGGACCTAACGTCAGAATATGAGAAAAAATTGAGAGAATGCCAGAGGACCTTCTTTCAAGGTTTAACTTCAGACCTGCAAAGCAACAACAAGAAGAAGTTTTGGAAATTTATGAAACGGTGCGGTAAAGATAAACTTGGGCCCCCAGTCAAATGCAACATGAAGGGTTTGTAGTAACAAATGATTATGATAAAGCTACATTATTTAATGATTTCTTTAAGTCAGTATTCCTTCCCGATGAAAATGTTTCCCTGCAGATGGTCAGCGACCAGTATGTTGGCATGCCACAGGTTGAGTTCTCCATTAATGGAATCAATAAATTGTTTGTTAACATTGATGAATCCAAAGCTACTGGTCCTAATAGTATCTCCCCTAGGGTGTTAAAGTATTGTTCGAGTGCAGTAGCGAAATATCTTTTTGTCATTTTTTCTAAGTCGATACAGGAGGGAACACTACTTGATGATTAGAAAATAGCCAATGTCGTGCCAGTTTTAAAGGGCGGATCTAAAGGTACTGTATCGAACTATAGGCCGATCTCGCTAACCCCAGTGGGCTGTAAAATTGTCGAACATGTTTTGTACTCGGCGTTAATGAAGCACCTTGTTTTGATCGGCTTTCTGAATGATCAACAGCATGGGTTCCAGAAAGGTGTTTCATGTACGACGCCGTTAATCGAGTTTTATCATGATATTGTCAGAGTACTTGATAATAGAGGTGAAGTTGATTGTATATTTTTAGATATCAAGAAAGCATTTGATACTGTCTCTTATTCAGTATTACTGCAGAAACTTTAAGTTTTAAATATTGATAATATTGTGATGCACTGGTTAAGAGATTACCTAGCTTCAAGGCAGCAACATGTTGTGGTAAATGGGACAAGTTCGGGTCGTGTTTTTGTAACGTCTGGCGTGCCACAGGGGTCTGTGTTGGGACCGCTTCTCTTCCTGATTTATATTAATGATATTTTCCGAGAAATTGAATACAAAATACGTCTATTTGCCGATGATTGTGCATTGTACAACGCAGTGTCTGGTGCAACGAATTTCACACAGCTTATGAGAGATGTTAAACGAATTGAATCATGGTGTAGTAACAATAATATGTCATGGAACGCTAGCAAGTGTGTTCATGTGTGTTTCACTAGAAAACATAATAAATTGGCTCATCAGTACTTCATTAACAATGAAAATATTAGAATTGAGCCATCTTATAAATATTTAGGTGTTATATTTTCTGAAGACGAAACATGGACAGCTCAAGTGAACAGTGTCGTTTCCAGGGCAGGCAGGACTTTAAATGTTTTACAGCGCAACCTTAAACATGTAAGCAAAGAGCTTAAGGAGGCAGCGTATAAATCGTATGTTAGACCGATATTAGAGTATGCTTGTCATGTGTGGGATCCGTCTTACCAGGTTCGTATCAGTGCTATCGAACGTACTCAATCTGTTGCTGCTCGGTTTGTTTTGGGAAGATACGATCGTTTCAGTAGCACAATTGAAATGAAAAAGGAACTGGGATGGGTGAATTTAAATGAACGTCGTAAAAGGCTGCGTCTCAAATTGTTCTACTCGATTTATCACAACCAAAGAGGACTTTGTGCTGCAAAGTTTCTGCATTCCCCATCTTAACGTTCTGCTCGCACAGACCCTTGTTATAAGGTTCAGCCGTACTTCTCCAGGAAAAAAAAAATTATGAAACACTTTTTTTTTGCACGAACCATTGCGGCATGGAATTCATTGCCGGCGAAAGTGGTGTGCCGCGAGACTGTGGATCTCTTTAATAATGCATTGTGCCCCCTGCAATAATGCCTGTATAGGCGCTGTGCGTTTTTTATGAATAAAGAATAAAGAGAGGCGGACACGTTTGCAGAAGGTGAACGCTTTTGAGTTTTGACTCTTTGCATGGCACCTTTTTGCAAACGCAGTCTATAAACCACGTGACCCTATGGAAAAGTCGCTCTACCTCCTAAATCTATACTCTCTATATCGACGACAGACAAGCTTTAGCACGAACTCGGTGCCGTGTGCGCTTCTCTGTTTGCTTCGTGATCCGTGTCGGCGTCTGGTCGGTGGGGTCGCTCTTGCGCAAAAGTCTGCTTCGCTGAAGTACAAATTCGGCGAATCTTCGCCACTCAAAGATGGAGAGTCCTGGCGCCGACGGCACCTCGACGGGGAAGACGAAGGCAGTCGTCTTGTATCAGAAGCGAGCCATCCTCGACAGAGTGCGCATAAACGTAAAAAATGCCGTCCAATTAAACTTGAGGAAGAAAACAAGAAGTGACGGACAAACACGAACTTCCAACTGGCAACAACATTTATATACAGGAAACGGAAGGGGGTGAAACCTCCCTCCAACCTCCCTTCTCTAAAAAGTGTCATTCTTGCTCTTGCTAAGCAGTACACTCTAAGCCCGGTCCCACTTAGTAAGAGGGACATTTCTTCGATTTTTTCCCACTTAATTTTAAGGGGGGCGACAGACCTCTGAATATCACATGGAGATGCTCCCTCTTAATTAAGTGAGACACCACCCCTCTTAAAGTAAGCGATACGGCGTCTCCCTTAATTTTGAGGTCAGAGTCCCTTT